GAGCCTCCAGCTGACTGAGCTTTTCGGTCAATCGGTCGACCTCTTCTCTCTTTTCAGATTCCAACTGCTTGAGTTTCTCCTTCATATTCCCGAGTGCTCTCGACTGGTCCTCCTCCCGTTCGCGACTTTTTGTTTCAAGATATTTGAAGTTTGCCTTTTCTGCATCTTGGTAACTGGCCGTTCGCTGAACCATGAGCTCTGTGGCGTCGTCCATCGATCGAAGATCTTGTGTCTTCAAGGCAATTTCTCCGTCGAGTTTCGAGATAACATCGTTGGCATTGTTGATCGTAATCTCTGCATTTTTGAGAAGCTCAGTCGACGCTCGATCTGCTTCCTCGTACGTATCGGCATTCTCGCCAATTTGCAAATCCCGCTCAAGAATGGTTACACGAAGGTCCTCCATTTCAGCCACGATTGTATCTTCTCTTGCAGCAATCTGAGCCATGACGGCCGTCGAATCCTCCTCTAACGTTACAATACGGCCATTTGCTGCCTCGATTCTGGCCTGGAGGGCGGCTATCTCTGCTGCCGACTCGGACTGAAGGTCTTCAAACCTGGCTACGATCTTGCGCAGTGACAACTCCCTGGTCTTTGTGGTTTTGGTCTGATCACGGAGGTCCTGCTGGAGGTTTTCCACCGCAGCCCATGCGCGACATACTTGATCTTGGCTCGATACCAAATTCGCAGCGATGATTGATGCGGCATATCTGGCAGTCTCGGCACATTTCCTCAGTTTGAATACCGAAGCTTCGTGTGCTCTTCGAGTGGTTCTCTTGGTCTGGTTCGCTTCGTCGATCGATTCACGCAGTCTATCGATCTCGGAGGCCTTGGTGTTGATGTCCATAGTGGCCGCCTCGTTTGTGTTGTCGGTTTCATAACGCAAGCTTTTGAGGTCTCGTTCCAGCCGCTGAATCGAAAGTTCAGCCTCGAGATGTCGGTTGATTGCCGATCTCATCTTTTTGGCGATTCGACTAAAGTTGTACGAGGCTGTCGAGTTGATTGAACTGACTCTTGATGCATTGTCTGTCTTCAGAAGTTTAACGGTCTCCCGGTTCACTCGGACTATGTGTGCTGTTTCGTTCTTGATCGACTCGACTTCTTCTTCCAGACCAAAAGTTTTCTGTCGCGCTTCATCTCTCTCTGATCGGGTCGAGAGCAATAGTGCCTCGAGATATTCAATCGACTTGCAGTCTTGTTCAGACCTCTCTGCATGCGACCTTTGCAGCAATACGAGCTCTGCCTTGGTCTTCTCTTTCTCGGATGTTTCTTGTTTCACGCTTTCGACCAGTGCACCGATACGTTTTTCGATCTCTTCGTCCACTGTCTTCTTTGCCTTGCTGGCACTGAGGGCGTGGCGTTTCGCATCGTTTGTCGCAACTCGAGCGGTCGATCGGAGACGTGAGGCTTCCGTCTCTGCGTCGTTCTTCTCTCGGATGAGTTTCTCTCTCTCGGCAGTCCACTGTTTATTATCTTCTTTCCGCTCGTCCATTTCTCTATGCCATCCAAGCGATACACCAGACTCTCCGGCTTGTCGAAATTCGTTGATCTTCGTCAGGATCTTCTCGTTCAGTGTTGCATGGTCGCGACATTCACTTTTTTCTAAAAGTCTGGCGGCGATATCCTTGCTTCGATCGATCGTGGTCTTGACTCTATCCAGTGTCGTCTCACCTCCGAGACGGTCGATTACGTCCTCCAGCCGGTCCAACGTCTCGTCGACTGATGGTTTGGTCGGATTAGACTGACGTAACTTCTGAATCGCCATTCCGGCAATCTGTTGATACCACAGACTCAGCTCCTGCTGCTTCTTGAATGCGGTGGTGTTGTTTGTCTGTGCCATGGTGATGGGTTCGTTGCAAGGGTTTAATTGGGATGATGCAGTTGTGATGATGTAGTTCGAACGAATCTCGTCCGTCCGTGAGACGAATCCATCCCTGACCGACTTCGGTCGTTCCTGCTCTACTTGTGGATTTGAAACACTCGATCGATTGACATGAACGCTTGGCACGGCTCTGGATAGTCACTACCACGACAAGAGGAACGGAATGCAATCGAGGCCGAGTCATTGGTCTGTGCGAGAGGTTGTCGTTCGCACGTCTTCATTTCTGCTCGAAACGTGGATTTAACGAATGATTCAAACTTCATATTCTGTTGATTGCTGCAGAGCTATTATACCAGTGTTGGTGCAGTCTCTATCGACTCTGATGGCGCGTCTTCTTGACCCATTCCTTGCACAATGATGATGACTCAACTCCAACTATACCGCATGTGTGTCCTTGCTGCCTAAAATTCTACTCTTCTTTGATGTCGTTCTCCAGGAGCTCTTCGACCTTCGATCTGTATTCTGTTAGCATAGAAGTGCAAGTGGTTTGAAATGGTGGAGACCAACTTCAAAGTCTTGTTCGTCAGCTCCTGGTTTTCGGCCAACTCCATTGCGATCTTGGTGCTGTTCATAGCCATTCTGACGACCCGCAGGAATGCTGCATTGGTGCCTCCCAGGGCGTCTTCTCCACCTCTGCCGAAGATCCACGACTCGATCGCTCCTTCGACCTGTTCCTGTTGGTACTTGATACTCTCAATAACATTTTCCATCGTCTTGATCTGTTGGACGACGACGAGGGCTTGTTGAGATGAGTCCTCAAAGTGTACCCTCTTTGTTCGAGGCATATCTGTGTCGGAGGATGGTCTCTTCTGAGCAACGATCGACTTTAGAGGTGCAGGCTGGAAACATGAGCAATGTCCACAACTGTGGACTGAAGGAAATAAAGCTTACGTTGTTTTCTTTTGGTGCCATTGCTGTTTGACTTTGGTTTGATCGACCGAGCTTTCAATAGCTGATGGCGTTGACAACGAGGTGCGTATCCGATGATGCTGATGAACAGCTTGCCATTCGACGAATAGTTGCAGTTGATGGAGTTGACAGAGCTGACCGAGAGTGTGGATGGAGTTGAAGTTGCATGCAACAAGGAATGGATTCGAAGCGAAGTCGAATGACGTTTGTGCTGAAGGTATTTGATATTCATGAGGAAGGAACTAAATGAGATTTCCTTACAGCTTCATATCGTCGCGTGGGAGCCAACAGTTGGGTCGACAAACATTAACCCTCGTCGTCGCTTGGCAATTGAAGCGTAATATTTGCAATTTCTCGAATAACGATTGGTCATCACACAAGTTCTGGTACCTAATGTCAAGAAGGAAAGCTTGACATATGATTGCAATGGCGGAACGGCTTGTGATGACGATGATCTGTACAAACTTCAGCCACAGGAAGTTGCGACTTTCAACGCTGCCTGCTACAAACCTCGTTCGAGCTTTCCACTTTCATAGGAAGCGATGACCAACAAATTGATTAGTAAGCATTCTCCCATCTCCATGTCATAAAGTCCCCCTCGTCTCTTCTTTTCCCAAACCAAACAATCAAATCAAACCACAATCATGACACCAGAACTCCTCCTTTCTATTCTCTCCGATTGGGAAAACGAAATGCTCAATTGCCAATGTCATTTCGAGAATGTCTCTCCAACGACCGCCGAGCTCGCCGACCTCATTCGATCGCCTCCTGTCGCATCAATCCTCAACAACAATCTCGAACTCAAGTCATCAATCGAGTCATTTTTCAACAAGATGATTTGCTACACTGTCTGGGCCAAGATCACAGGCATCGGTCAACCTGCTGAAGCTCACGTCCAATCGGAGTAAACGTAAGTTTGAGTCACTCGATATCAACGAATCTTCGATCTGATCAATGTAGCAGCCAAGACGACACCACAAGATCCTTTTCTTTCGAGATAGGACGACGACGACGACATCAGGGAAGAGGGAGAAGAACGCGACTTGCTTCGATCGCTTGCTATGAAAATTACACAATCAAATATTTTCTGACCTTGCCTGTGAACTTCATTCCACCGTGAAATGCCTCCCTCTTGTTTGTGAATTGCCGTTGTGATCAAGAGCTAAGCAATGAGTATCCCTTCGTCGTCTGTATCCTGCGTCGAGGAAACCGCGAACGATTCGCATTCTTGCTCCGCCAATATTCAATTCATCTTTTTCCATCGATTCGTTCCTACCCAACAGTCTCCTTCTTCTTCAAGCTCGGTCGACTCAATTCAACTTTCAAACGATTCGTTCCCACCCAACAGTCTCATTTTTGTTCAAGCTCGGCCAAGCTCAATTTCATTCGGAACCACCATGTCGAACTTCATCATCTCACAAACCGACATTGACGCGATGTGCTCGCAACTTGAGCCAGACCCGGACCCAGGCACGTTACCACAAATAGACGAACAGGACGACGAAAACGCAGACATCGTTCAGAAGACACGACAGACGACTCTGTCGTTTGTGCCGTCTGCGATGAGTTCCTCGAGACGAACAGTACTGAGGCAACCTTTGGATCGAGGCGAGTTTCGACAGCGCTCGGATGGCAACAATGTTTTCATCGACAAGATAATGAAGGGAGGATACACACCGTTCTTGTTGGAGCTCGTACGACAGCAGCGACTTATCCTCAAGTCCGAAGAGGTCGACGAAGACATACTGTTTGGTTGTTTCTTTCGAATCATCATGGGTATCCACTCCAAAGTGTTGATAGGGGTTATGCAAGGGGACATAGCTGAGCGATACCATGCGGACAAGGAAACCAAGCAAATACTGGATCTATTACTGGAAGAGGCCACTGGATCCAAAAGACCTGGTATCTACTGCAATTCCATTGGAAGAACATCTGATGGGTCGGCGTTATCGAGAAACGAATTGATTATTGTTGTCGAAAAGATGCAAGCCTATATCGACAACGACAGCGACAATATTCAATCAAATATTGACATCGACTCCGTAAAAGGAATCTGGAAGCACGCCCACCAGAGATACCTCGTTAAGCCTGTTTGGAGGGTCCAGATCGAGAGATTTATTGACGGCGTAAAAAAACGGCTTTTGACCTCTCCCTCTCACACTCCAGATAGCCCTATGGATTCAGCAATTCTCGAATTCGGATACGGCCTGTACATCCCTGATCGACTGAAGGCTCATAGAAGCCATACCGACTCCAATTACATCATGAATTTATTCGAGTCGATCTGCCATGTAATGTGGCCAGGAATTTTTCGACTACACCAGTTCGCTATCTTCCTGGTCGTTACACCAGACGAAGCCGCGACTTCTGAGATGGTATTGACCCTATGCGGAAACGGGTATCATTCCCATGGTACGGGTTTCTCCCATCACGCAGCCGGACAGTCGAGTTCGAAGGCATTCCAACTGTTCAAACCACGGATGACTGCAGAGTTTCTTGAGTGGTCGATCAAAAACGGGCCATTGGAGGCAAACGTTGCAGCATGGAATGAGGATAACGCCTATGGTGCGTCGGGCGAGACGGAGAACACATCAATGACGGAGAACACGTCAAAGTTGAACGAGCTTGCTGTACTCGAGGAAGAGGCCAAGGTGGTAGCATTGACAATCTGTCAGCAAGAGGGTGTGCTGGATCTATGCGATGAGATCGATGACATCGTTGGTGAATTCGATGTTGAGTCTGGATCTGGATAGGATGGGAAGGGGTACTGTATGTACCATGGAGACGATGACTCTCAGAGAGTTTGTGTTGTCAGTCAATACTTCCAGACATATTTTGCAAGTCATTTCTTTGTGTTCCAAAATACAGCTCTTTTCAAAGTTACCAGTGGACATGTTGAACTTTTGACAGAGAAGGAACACAGGGGAATGTGAACAGAGGATGCTTTCCACTTTGACCGGACGCTTGCAACCTAACTCCAATCATGAGTTGACGGTTTACGCATGACTCTTGGAATCAGAAGCAATCATCTTTATATATTTCCAGAACACAAGCGGCTCCTGCGTAAACGTTGAAAAGAGTAGCCAATACCACATGATAATCAATCACCAATCGATCAGCAAATGCATGGCAATTAACGACAATGTTGCCGAGATTGACAATTTCATAATGAAGTAGATTGCAAAGAGAGAGACACAATTCTTCGTGCGCTCCCGGCGGTGGAATGTTATAACAGATAACCTTTGATCGGGTCCTATCAAATAAGGTCCTCCTCGATATGCCATGGTAAGTGTGCAGAACTATCCTTTCCTCGAGTCTGGTGCAGCTTTTTGTTGTTCGTCGTGAGTTTTTCTATTTTCCGGAGCAGTGCTGCATCCCCGATAGTGGACGTCTCTACGTTAGATGTCGTCATTATTCTCGTGTGCAGGAGTCGTGGGAATTCGCCACCCCCAACTTTGATCTCGATCATTAGATAGCTCGATTTCATAGCTCTACGACCGTAGATACAGGTATTTGATGCTATATACAGCTCTAGTTGCTTCAAAAGTTGGTGTAATAGCTTAAGGTAACCCTGCCCCTACTGCCTCTAATTTTTGAGCAATATTAGACCATTGTTTAATACGCATTCTAGGCATAGATTCCTGCTATAATAATGCCGCTTAACGACTACGATAAGGACCTTATATAGGCCATGTTTTGTAACAACTGCGACGTTAATACTATCCTTAAAGTAGTTCCCTATACTGCTTAAACTACGCTCTATCGCATGTAGCAGAATATTAAGCTCTTTAGCTAAGTCCGTAAGCTATCCTCTACCCTTAAGCGTATAGGGGGTCCTTATAAGATTACGCTAGTAATGCAAGTCTACGCTATAGAATTGCTTACTTATAGAAACGACCTATAGGAATAAGAGCTAGCCTTTAAGTTATAGTGCAAATTTAACATAGAAGTTTACCGTTTAACTATTAGTCGTATACTAACTAAGGAGCGACTCTCGAGCAAGGTTAATACTCGTATTATAAGCTATTAGTCTATCGCTAAATAAGGCATATACGAAGAGTAGCTCGCTAAGCTAACGTCTTATAGTCGCGAGGTCGATATAGACCCGATAGAAATGCTTATCTATCTCGATAAATCTATAGTAAGTAAGAAGGTAATGTTTTGACGACGGTTATAGTTAGTAATCGGTCTACCTATGTATATAAGGTTAGAGCTAGTATCTAAAGTTAGATGCTTAGTGCTACTAGTACTAGATGTCTATAGGTATCTCCCTAGATCGACCCTCGTCGTCGAGGGCGCTATTACCTAGGCTATCTACGAGCACTAGCTTAAAGCAGTTATATTACCTTAGAGCAAGCCATTTCTAGGTAGAAGGTCGATTATTATTATAGACAATTGCTTAACCTATTACTTAGATAAGGTAAGTTTAAGAACTAGTATATTTTAGTAGTACCCTAACACGTAGTAGATTACTAAGTTAGGTCGCTAGTTTAGCGTATATATGCTCTACTTGCCGCTGTACTCGCTATATCTAAACCCTATTAAATAGACCTTCTATCTCTTAAAATTATAGCTTCAAAGCTATTAGGATCTAGCTCCTCGAGTTAGCGAGATAGATGCTAGAGCGTATAAGGCGGCATAGATCTAGTACCTTAAAAGGGCGACGTATTAGGCTCTAGATGATGTTAATGTAAGAAATTTGTTTATTAGGAGCAAGGTATCTACTTAGATCTAATGGTCGCTACTAGCATAGCTACTCGATAAGGCCGACGAGAAGATAGATATAATGCTTAGCGTACGATTAGTATAGTCGTCTCTACGGCTAGTCTAAGCGTAAGGGGTCGAGTTAGGTAAATTCTACGATAGGCGCTAGGTTTGCTTAAATAAATCTACGAATTTAGTTAGTTCTTTATAGACGACAATATAAAGGCTAGACTGCTTTATAATACGCGATAACTGCTTATTAGATAAGTTAAATAGTATCCGTAAGTTCTAGAAGTCTTACTCTAGTAATACCTTAACTCTATTAAGGCCCGTAGACTAGTTAGGGTAAGTCAATTTTAGATGCTCCTAAAAGGCGTCCTAGTTTGCTATAGTATTTAGCTCTACCGGTACCGGTAAGACCTAACGGGTTTAAGGAACATCTAGCGTAGCTAGCAAGGCAATAGATAGCTCTTAACCTTAAGGTTAACCGACATAGAAGTAGTTAATAGTCGCTAGGGTAGATAGCGACCCTTAGGTTAGTCTTATAGCTAGCTAAGCTCGCTTTTAAAGCTCTATCTTGTACTACTAATAGTAACGAATAATTAGCTCTCGTATTGCTCTCGAGGGTCGTTTAAGCGTGCTCTCGTTCGCCCTTATAGAGTCTCGCTACTTAGCTACTACATTAAATAGGACCTCGTAATGCTAACTATAGTAAACAAAGTAAGTAAGGCCTCTACGAGCGTAGATATAGTAATAGGTAGGGTTCTTGCACTACTAGTAGGTTATAATAGAGTCCTAGAATAGAGCTCGTTCTATGTAATTAGTAGTCTATAATTCTAAACGTTTAGAGCGACGACGGCGAGCAGGTTAGGGTATAGAAATTAGCATAATAGTAGTAGTAGTAGCCTCGTACGAGGGAGGTAGCTCTAGCTTAGGTTTAGAGCTATCGGTAGTCTAGATAGAGTCGATTATAATAGATAAATCCTTTATGCTACTACTAGCATTATAGCAAATAAGGTCTATTACCTTTTGCTAGCGCTCGCCTACGCCTTTAACCCTTATTAAAGTAACTACTTTAGTCTAACGTATACTACGAGCACCGATCGATATAAGTAATACTTAGATCTTATAGGGCAGATAGCTATTAATATTCTTGCTTCTAAGCTAGGGGATAATACTAGCATCTATCTCCTTTAGAATAGTAGCCTAAGGCTTATCGGTATTAACGATATTAGTGTCGTCGTTAGAGACCTTTTAGTACACCTAACGACTTTTAAATTATAGCTTAAAAGCAATAGGAGCTAGAATAGGAGGGGGCGGTAGCGACGATGTATTTAACTGTCTAACGTTAGTATTTTACTATACTCTATTTAAGGGGCCCTTCTTCTTAGTATTAGTAAGTGCCTTACAAATTTTAGTTGCTTTACTAGTAGTAGTCGACCTTAAGGTAGTATTACGATGTTTAACGACTAGTTTAACGGACCGCTTTGCGGGTAGCTTCGAAACGGCGAGTACTTATATTCTAGCCTTTCTTAACGTACTTATTATTCTAGTTTTTCCTAACGTATTAGGTACGTCTACGAGCACCTTCCTACTTTTTTTTAGAGCTATTAGACTTAGTTATTATTATTAGGTAGATGTTTTACGTTTATTATTAGCCTTACGAGGGGTTAACTTTATAGGCACGTCGGCATTAATAAGTCGAACCGGAGCTATACTACGCGTCGATCGAGTTAGCCTTATAGAGGGACCTTTCTTAGGGTCGTCTTCGAAGTATATAAGCCTCTTACTAGTAGTTAGAGACTAATAAGTTAGTGCCGGAGAGGGTAGAGCTTCTAAGAGCTTAGATTTAGCTTCGGGCGCAGTATAAGCTATAGATACGGATCGCGAGCGCGTACGAGGTCCGGAGTTATTAATAACGTCGAGAATAGCTTAAGCATCTTAAGAAGTAGTTATATCGATAATTATAATAGTTTATTTAGACGTGGTTGTAGTGTTATATAGAGAACTAGAAGGTAGAGGGCCCCCTAGAGCATTAACTTTGAAGCCGAGAGGCTCGAATTCCTACAACTCCTGTACACGAGAATATAACTACTAGTCGTATAACCATTGTTATCGGCGTCGTCGTCTAGATTTCGGCTTACCCGTTAGACATATGTCTTGTAAGGGTAAGGCATGCTCCGAACCACCCTTGTAGTAAGGTAAAAGTTACCCTATCATTGTATAAAATGTTTCCAAGACTGGTGGTGAATTGGAAGAGGCGCAATAATTTGATAATTGGCTCGACATCTTCGAACGATCGGCAAGACACGTGATCCATCGGCGTCCGCGACTCTCGGCGCCGACTTCACAAATCGGACGGTTACGAATTCGAACACTTACTTGGCAAGCTCGAATATTCGAATGTTACGAGGACGAACTCGCTCTTGCATCTGTGAATCTCATGTATAGTTTCATACCAATAGATATGTTCAAAGTAGGTAAGCTTATACGCATATCAACAATTTCGTGACCTCTCTTTCTGCTTGTCCGATGGCCGAGCCTCACTCGATCGACTTCATTTCTGGGGCCAAGATTTGCTACTTCTGCTCAAAGTCTTCTTTGATCCACTGATGAACAACGCTGGTCCGTCTCCAGACACGTCCCGTGGGAGAGGGAGAACGACAAAGCTCGACAGGACGCTGTTCCAGACAACACAGAACGTGTTCGTGTTTGCGCAAGACCTGCATGCGTACTGCATAGGCTCATCGATCGTCCATGCCGCCTTCGTGTCCTTTATCACTCCCTTGACACAGTTCGACGAACTTCGAATATCCTGCCAATTCATGCCGGTATTGCCGGTCATGTCGGCGAACTGCACCACCTGTTGATTCCATGCCGCCTGTGTTGATGCTTCGAGCGCCGAACCGTCGCTTTTCGTCAATTTGTCTTCGGTAAAGATGAAGTCGGATCCAAGTTCGGCGGAGACTGCCTCGACTTTCACTGTCTTTTGACGACGTGGCCTCGTCATCGCGATCGAAGCCGAGTCGACCGCCTGTCGTTTCTTGCCGCGCGATCTCAGTGGTCCTTCGCTGGATTCTTTGGCGGCGTCTACAGGCGGAGTCTCTTCGATGCTCTGCATAACCGTATCTTGCTCGTGACGTGGTAGACTTTCGGTCATCCTCACCGTGTTCTCTCGTTCAATATCATCTTGATCGACATGTCTGACGTCGTCGTCTTTCACGACTGTGGGTGATGCATCTTGTTGCATCACATCGACCGACGGCCGAGAGTCTTCTTCGACTTCGATTTCATTCGAAGATGATACGGTACGGAATTTATGAATCGGCGAACAGGCGGCATCTGGACGATCATCCTCGATTACCAACGAGAAGTCAAACGTTGCTTCTCTCAGGCGAGACTCAGCGCGACTGTCTTTCAGGTCGATTCGTTTTTCCGGCTGGACAGGAGAGTCTCGAGTCTCATTCTCATCGATGAACTGTGCCAGGACAGTGTCTCGTCTGGCTCCAGTCGAAGTTTTCGAGGCGATCGGCTCTCTTCGAGCCAGTTCTTCGATAAGTCTTGCTTTGTCCTCTTGTAGTGCTGATATTTGTTCGTTTTTAGTCTTGATGATCTTCTGTTTCTCCTCCTCCTTTTCATGGTTTGTTCTGACAATTTCTTCGTTCGACCTTTCTTTCTGCTCTTTCTCTTGCATTGCTCTTGTGACTTCTCTATCATCTTTCTCGCTTTGCTCCTTTTTCTGCCTCTCTTGCTCAATTCTCTTGGCCTCCTTGGTCCAATTCGCCTTCTGTGTGATCATCTCCGCGCGTTGACTGGTGTTGCTTTCGATAAGGTCGGCAATTTTACCCAATATGTCATCGCCAAACATCTTTCTCAGCTCTCGGTCGGTGTCATGCATGCCATGTATCCTGGTAATATAATCTGGTCCGAAACGCAACTCCAGGCCTCTCAGGTCTGAACTTCGAGATCTGTTGATCTCAACGATCTCGGAAATCCTATTCAGGTATTCTTCGCCGAATCTCCGCTTCAAGTGTTGGATGATACCACACATCTCATCGATTGCATATTGGTAATTAACTCCAAGCTGCGATTCCAACGATTCCATGACCGACATACATGCGTCGTATCCTTGTTCGAGGCGATTGATCTGCTCGGCATAATTCGAGCCGAAATGAGATTCCAGAGCGTCGATCTGTTCTTTGTAATGGTTGCGGCTCGACAATGTGAAGTTCAGCTGATGACCGTCTACCAGCCTCTCTCGCTCAACATAGAGTTTGGCGTTCTTACGGGCGTCATCTCTTTCTTTGGTCAATCGATCGATCTTTCCGGTATCATCTTTCCAGGCTTCAATCTCCGCTGTCAATTCACCCATTTGGTCGAGAAATTCCGACTCTTTCTCACGGCAGACCTCGGAATGCTTCGACTCAAGGCTGACAATCTTGGATCTAAAACTCCGTCTGAGCTTTCGGTGCCTCTTCTTCGTATCGTTCAGATTCTTGTTATGATGGCCTATAATCGTATTTGTCCTTTCGAGCAAGTCATCAAAGAGCTGGTGTCCTTTCGATATCTCTTCCATTTGTTGATTGATGATAATGTTTGCCTCCAAGATAAACGACTCATTTTCTTGCTTGGCCGTCTCCAGTTTGATTTCGAGTTGCCGAACTCGTTCTTGTTCCAGTCCAAGAGCATCAGTCTGACGGTCGAACGAGGCTTTCAAATCTTCGATCTCAACCTGTTTGTTGGCTAAGATCTCGCGGTATCCTGATATCTTGATTCGAGAAGAGCGACAGATTGACCGTTGAATGCTGGTTGCATTTACTCCGTCAGACTCTTGCCTTTCGATTTCGGCTTGTTTTTGGCCGAGCATTGTCCATAATTGCAGTCGAATGACATGTGATCGATCGGCGGTGGATTTGGCCTTGCTCAAGACCTTTGCAATAATCTCTCGACTGGTATCGTACCGGTTGAGCTCGTCGTCTGCAGCATCTCGTTCTTCGATGACATAGCTCAGCTCCTTCGTCAATTCGTCGACTCGAGTAATCAACAATTCTTCGTTGCTAGGCATGGCTTTGTTCAAACTTTGATTGTCGGAATTTGATTCGATATGTTGTGTGTGTTCGATTGAAAATTCGCGGAAGGTTTGATGTTGATACGAGGCTTCAAGATCACGACCATTGCACCTTCCCATACCGCGACCATTACAGTTTCCAAAGCCACTACCAGAATTTGGTCAAATCAACAATGATGTCAGACTCACCGAATCTTAACTTCGATCCAACTACAGCCAGACAATCATTCTCTCCACACAACACGCTACACCATCAAGCAATATCACGCATCGAACTCTCCAACATGCATCCACTGGCATTCAAGCTAAACCCCCTGCCACCAATCAGCATGGCTAAAGTCAGAAAGACCCGAGCATCAAAGGCTACGGAACTCTCTGAAGATCCAATCGAGTCATCTACCCAAATCTCCACCCAAATGCCACCAACCCCACCCAAGAAGAAGCCAATCGGTCGACGAAAGGGAGAGAGACCGAGAGCAGTCGTCAAGAGATCCCCGGTTGAGGTCGAGATCAAGAAGGAGGAATCGACTCAAGAACCTCCGCCCTACAATCGCTACCAGGCATTTGCCTCTCAACAAATGACCGACCAAGACGAGAGGATGATCGACCTATTGTCAAGCTTCGACAAGATCTTCGGCACTGACTGGTTGAAGGATTGGACATTGTTCAACCGAGCTGGAATCCTTGACTGTGAATCGATCGATGATGACGGCTTCGCTCGACTTGGTTTGATCAAAGGTGTTCGTGAGGGAAGTCTATTCGAAGGCTTTGTCAAGGGACGTCTCTATTGATGGAGGCTTCGACACTCAGTGGAGCGGGAAGCGGTCGTTTTATTTGTCTGCTCTCTTGAGTATTTTGTTCGTCGTGGTCGATTGAATGGAGGGTATCCGGGGGTATACGCCGTACGAATGCGAGGGATGTAACATGAGACATAATTATAGTGTGCACTGGATCAAGCTTATTTTCGAGTATATCAAGAGGCTGGCTCCTCTCGAATTAGAAATACATTAACTGTTTGAGACATCCACATCTGGCATCTCGATAACTGAACTATACAGCGCGTAAAACTCTAGATTTCTGTCAACCCATTGGTGTTGGTGGTGAGTCCGAGTCGAAACTCCAAGATTGAAACGACTCGTGTCAATCAGGATTTACCCTGTTCAGAGCACATATAGGTATGTTTACTCTGTTTGTTTCTACATTTTAGCCTCTTTTGGAAATAACTAAATGAGCTGCAACTATTGTGGAAACTTGGGCAACTCCGGTACAAGAGCGAATCGTAATACCAGTGGGTCCAAGGAGCAGTCTACAACAGGGGTCTAAGCGTCCCAGCATCGTTGTTTCTCAAGACCTATAATAGTACTGACAACTCAAAAAACTTAGCCTGCCTGCACCCTTGGCTGTCTCCTTGGACAAATCACAAATGCTCAGAACTGTCGTGCTTTCTCAAAGATGAACAGATGGAGATAGTGGAGACCCGCGCGCATCCGTGCTCAAGCCTCACCGCCCTGGCAGCCTCGTCCACGACTGCACCTTCCTCACACTGCATTCTTCGTCTACCGATTGGGGACCAGACAATTCTCCCCGAGACATCTCGTTATCGCAGATGTACTGCGCGTGTTGATCAATCTATGAACAGGGTCGCCATCATTATCTCGAATCAGCAAGCATGTCTTCCCACGGCACGGAACCAAGCGTATATTGCAGTGGAGATCATCACTATCTGATGCCTCTTGTAGATTGCTTTGACAAGCACGTGAAGTGCTCTTACAGTTCACGTTTTCGCTTCGTGCAATATCAAAATATTGCATTGCAGAATCACTTACCTTTTACAGCAGGCCAGTCTCAAACACCACCATGATCATCGCTGCAGGCCGATAGTTTTCAGCTGAGTTTTCCGAAAGACATTATGCTCAAAGGAAGACTGCTGGCTTCTCTCTAACATGATGGCTATTCGTAAACGATGTCAATATTCGAGACCAACTGTTCGTTGCCGACAGCAGGTACCCGCTTCGTCGAAAGTCCCGATGTGCGTGGCACCCTCGACATTCTCTGGAGCTGTCTAAGTGTGCTACTTCTCTGCACTTGGTCCATCCAACACCTACCCATTCCGCATCAATGCCGTCCTCGCAGCGTACGTCAGCAGATCAACAAATTCTTTTACCAGCTGGGGATCAAGTTGCGGTGGATGCTGGTCACACTCATCGCCCCAGAGCTGCTCTGCGGTGTCGCTGCCGAGGAGTGGCTGAACGCTTGCAAGGCTGCCCGAATACTTGCTGAGAAGCCAGATGACGAGATTGAATGGACGGCGAGCCATGGTTTCTTCGCGCAGATGGGAGGTTTCAGACTTCGATTCCGAGATGCCGACAGCCAAAATTCAAGAAGAACGTCTGACACCACTACCAACGAGGTATCGCCAGAGAAACATGGCATCGCCGCGCCATACCAAGAGCCTCTGCTCAGTCGGCTCAGCTATCCTCATGCGAACAATTGGAGCTACGTCTCCGGAACCTCTTGAACCGTTCAGTCTCAGGAAGGGCTGCTTCCGAGCCCAGTCAATGTCGCCATCCGCGAGAAGAGCTTCAAGTCCGTTGCTTGGGACCTGAATATTATGTCCAAACAGCACGCTGTGTTGTCAACGTCTTTTGGGCCGGCTGAATGGAGTCCTGATACGCGCAACGGAGCTCTGATCGAACAAATGATGGTGCAGAGACAGACCGACCCTCAGGCAGGAGAAATTGCACTGATGGCCATGAGGATGACCACCGACACATGGAATTTGAGCCTTGAACAAATCCGACTCGCGCGGAAGTATGGTATCATCAAAACACTTCCCAGTATGAGCAAAGAGGATCTAGATGCGATGAGCAACAGTGATGGCCTCGCCAAAGCACTGGCTGTATGTCAAGTCCTCTGGCTCATTATTCAGATGATCTCGCGCGCCACATCTTCACTCTCGGTTTGCCAACTTGAAGTAGCGACTGGAGCCTTTGCGATCACCACCTTCTTAACGTATGTCTTTCTATGGCAAAAGCCACAGGGTGTTGCGAGACCGATTTACATAGATTCTGCACGAAGACCCACCGTAGACGAAGCTTGGGAGCTAGCGCAGTGTGGACTCGAGGAGACAAGTTCACTGCTCTATCGCGCCCGGAGCTGGAGACAGTCACGCGAGCATTTGAAGGCAAGAGCCTTCTCCAATACAATAATGCTGGTTTGTGCGACAGCACTTGGAGTGGTTCACTGCGCGGCTTGGAATTTCGAGTTCCCAGGAGAAGCAGAGAAGTGGGCATGGAGAGGTTGCGCTTTGGGGTCGACGATACTGCCTCTGTTTCTACTGGCGTGGCATGAGTTGTATCTGCGTTTTGCCTTTACAAAACACATCATCTTCTCGGTCGTCATCCTACTCGGCTTCATGCTGTACGGATTTACCAGACTGTTTATCATGGTGGAGATGTTTCGATGCTTGTTCTATCTTCCGGTTGATGCCTTTGTAACGACGTGGACGATAAACTTGCCAGGTATTTCATAGATGAGATTGTATACAAGATTTGGTTCGGAATCTGACAGAAGTGCCGAAGGATTATGCGTGAAGGATTGGTAGGTTTCGATGTCGAAAAAGACGTTGGTGTCGATTGAGATTGGAGTGAGGATACTGATGAAAATCATTAGAGGCAGGCGCCAAGAAGTGATAGAATTGGGAAGGCGCAATTCGGCGTCGTGACTAGCGCGCGCAACGGCGGAGGGGGCAGGAACGACTTGCGGTTGTGGATGATACAAACACAAGCAGCACACAGCAACGACATCCGACCAAAGGCGACTCGAAGGCCTTGGATGCTGTGAGAGACTTGTGAAGAAATCAGCACATTGGCGTCTTATATCGAAAGCGACCGTTCCTCTGTATCGACCACACGCTCATTAACCCACTCCAACCCGGCCAACATCAACGCCAGCGACAACAAGCGCGAGCTTGCATCACCACTCCACGTCCAATCAACCACCCTACCACCTACTCCCAAAGTCGAAGCAGAAGAACTCCAGGATCCTCCACCCTTTTCGTCGCACAACTTCCCGTCACTCTATTTCCCGCCTCAGGACCAGCCTGCGCCGCCGCCCGACTTTGAAGAAGGCCCGTCGTCATCGGCCTCGTCCCCGTTCTCTTCTGTTGTCGAAGACACAAAGGCCGCTCTTCCACCCGATACCAAACCTCGTTCCGACAAGGCGCCCGACGACAGCGAACCTCCGCCGCCCTATACCGAAGGTGCCAGTCCGCTCGACGGCTTCACTTACCTCATGGCTCAAGCTGGAGGTGCTGCGAGCATCATCACCCAAGTCTCCCAGGGTGGTCCCGCTCCCATCAACACTTTTAACGCTGCATCCGATGAGCACATCAATATCGATCTGAGGTATACCCGACCTCGATAACTCGTCCGTCACACAGCAGCTAACGTCCAGCAGAGGCACTCGCTTCACTCTCTCGCGCGATGAGCTGCTCACGCTCCCCGAGTTCGTGCTGTTGTCGCTCTTCCCGAACGGACTCCTCCCCGATGGCCACATGAACTCGTTCCACGAGCCTGACGTCTATCCCGTCGATGTTAGTGCCGCCCCGCGCCTCATTTCCTCCTTCCGTCCTCAAGACATCGCTGCGCTACAACACATTCTCCAAAATCATGATGTATATTTATCTGACTCGATCTACTATTCCCAGTATGACCCCACTTCTCTGCAATACATGCTCGAATTCTTCCGATCCGTCGCCCAAACTATCCCCACCTCCCCCACCGATGACTCCCCATCTCCGTTCTCTGCCGACCAAGGCCCCGTACCCATTGAGCCCATGCAGGGTAATGCTAGAGACATGCTGCAGGACAGAGCTGGTATCATCGTCTTGCGCGAAGACCTCGACTTCTACGTCATCCCCCCGAGGCGCGACATTGGTCACCCCGAGATGGTCCAGGTCAAGCGTGCTGCTGGTCGCGCTTTGTTGAAGCAGAGTGGCATCTTCAGTGGCCTCCGCAAGAGTGAGGAGCCTGGTACCACCGAGCAACATCTTATTGAGATGCTGACTGCTGGGTGAGTTCATCCCGTCAAGACAACATCGTTCTTTTCACTGACATCATCACTCTAGTGGCTTCAACCACGACGATACCTGGGGTCACCGTGCTGGCGAGCCCAACAAGGCTGTCATCTGCAGTATCGCCCTTGCTCGTCTGCGTACCGATGTCCGTGGCGATGCCAACTCCAACGCTGTCGGCATGGCTCAGAAGCTCCTTCTGTTCTGGCGCAAGCCTGCTCGCCGCTGCTGGTGGGAAGGCGTTGACCTTGAGAATGTTGAAGGTATCGACGGCACACTCAAGGTCTGGATCCGCAGAGTCTGGACCCTCGAGATGGTGAGTACTCTTCCATGAAACCCTGCTTTTGTCGCATCTTACTGACTCTTTTCTGCAGAGCGTTATTGGTCTTCGCTGAGCGCTGCCAAGAAGCCGCCTCGCCCATTTCTTATTCCAATTTCCTACCTTCGATTCGACCACTCATACCCCGATAACACCGAACTTCTTTTATTCATGTTGTTTCTTCCTTGTTCTTTTTACAGCTCATCGAGATCGAGCACGTCACCCCACTGCGCACAGTCTGGACCCAACAACGCATTTTTCTCATCTGGGTATCATGGTTCACGGACGCGTTTGTTTTTGCGCATCAAAACTCTTTCTTGGTATCGAGATGGCATTTTCGTGGCAGTCTTGTTCACATCGGCTGTTATTCTCCCATCACACATGTTTTCTCTTGTTTCTGTCTCCAGGGAGTCTTTTCTTAAATTCAATCCGTTGTTGTTTTCTTGTTTCCTTTCATGTTTTTTCTTATTGATACCAGAAAATAATACTTATTTCTTGAAACATTGCCGGTATCTCAAGCCTACTGCATGCATGTGTCTCGTGTATGTACCCGCGCCGTTCGAAGCTGCGTTGATGACGATGACGCTTTGCAAGCAGGGCAGGTTTATGAAGTCCCGGGCATGGGCGGCGAGCATCGTTTGGGCTCGAGATTGTCGTTTGTGTCACTGTTGTCACCATCCTCCACGAGACAGGAAACGAGGCCGTTCTCGTCTCGTCTAGGCTCATCGGCCATGGACAGTTTCCTCACTTGCGATCTGTTGAAACATAATGTTACTTCCCAAGCGAGCACCTTTTATATTGTCACCAAGATACTATGTTCCTCTTGATATACCGTCTCAGAACTCTAGAAGTATTCTCTTCATATCTCTTCACACGTCAGAGATTGCTTTTAGACGAAGATGATTGGTTGTTGTGGAAAGATATTGTCTTTGGAGTTTTTGATATGTCGAGGGTTGGAAAACGGCGTTTTACCGATCGGTATCACGTCATCTTCACACAGTGGAATCTACCAAAGGTCCGGAACATGCATAATCATCGAAAGAGCAGTCATGCGTGCTCAAAAAGAGTTCGAGCTGTAGCTAAACAGATTGCATAGGCGATAACCCTGTTCGAGCAGTCATGATGCTGCAGAGGTAACCCTGATCTGATATGTACAGCTCCACCACACTAAGTGATGTACTAGTCTCTGTAGTGCAGTGGTCAGCATATCTGTTCGTACGAACAGGAAGACGTGGGTTCGACTCCCGTCAGAGATAATTACTCCGTTGGGACACAGGAACCTGTGCCACAACGGAATATCCTTTTTTTTTTTGTTTTTGGCAAGGTCACACTGCACATACCGTTCGTGAGAATAGTCGCAGACCGGATAGACCACCCTCTTATAGGAGACTCAACGGGTCATCACACCTCCCACTGAGGTTACTTTCATCTGTATTGATCTCCTCCTCGCTATATTCCAGAAGATACTAAGTACAATCGAGCAAATGCCCTTAGCATTGATACAGTCATCCATGAACGATGGACACAACTCTGGTTAGAAAGGTGTTGTGCGTTTTGCGAGGCAGTGCCGTATATAAGGGGCGTAGGGGTACAGATAGGGTATGACCACAGCAGGTTCGTGAATACGCCCTTCCCATCTGACCACTACTGAGAGCCCGAATGTTTCCACATCCAGGCGACCGGCTATGCTCATACTCAAAAGTGTGTTCTCTTGGGCTTACGTGTAGTGGTAAGGGATGACCGAGAGTCGCGGATCTTAGTCCAATGAGAAGAAATGTCTCTCTCAACGTCGACGTAGCCATTTTGTCCATTCTCGAGCGAGTTGTTCCTCGAATCCTTTGCGAAGAAACATGTAGCGTTTTAGCTGTGGAGCGTGATTGTCGATCAGTCTCGCAGCCTGCTGTGTAGAAAAATTCCTGACAACGCCTCTATCCATTGTGTAATCTAACGTCGAGGATTGCGCGGATGGGTTGACGAGCTCTTGAAGATTGCAGGTCCACGATTCAGGTGAAGCTGGGATAGCTGTCGACAGTAGCTCTCCAGACTTGAAAGGTACGAGGCCGGAAAGACGTCGAGGTTGCAGTGGAGCCGCTGCAAACACGGTAGGCCAGAACAAAGAGAATCGAACTCAGATTCCGTGAACTTCTCGACTTCTTCCGGAGGCTCTTCGTTGAGAAACAAGATGTGTAGACTGCGAAGGTTGTGCAGCGACTGGATCGCCAGCAAGCCGTCCGTATCAATTCGAGCTTGCGTGGCCGTCGAGATGAAGAGAACCTCCAGCCGCGGCATTGCGCCAAGTCTATAAATAAAAGACGTGTTTGTTGATGAACACAAGGACAAAGCAAGGACCTTGAGATTGGGAAAGAGCTCCATCGCAGAGATAATTGTGGCGGGATTTGCAGTGACCTCAAGCGATTCCACCGCTCGGAAAGGGTAAGGGTTGTGAGTCTTTACAAACTCGAATAGTGCTGGTTTGGCCAAGCGGTCACTAACTGACAAACGCTCGAGCTTTTCAAACCTGGAGAGTTGGAGGATCAGATCACCAGTGAGATTGCTGTTGGTGAACTTCAGAATGAGACTTCTGACGTTTTGGACTGCGGCAAAAATCCCAGACAACTCTTTCGCAGACAACGTCGTTCCGACCGAGGTCAACCAGAAGCTCCTCAGATGTGGGCAATTTTACATGAGATCAACAAAGCCTTGGTCAAATTGCTTGTCCAGATTGTGCACTTCCAAAATCTCGACAGATGGCTGGAGGTATTGGGCGACAGGACATGGCCTTTGATTGTGCATGCCTCCTTGATTGTCCAATACAAGGCGCTTCAACATAGGAAATTTGAGTCTTTTCAACAGCGAATGTATGGTAGCGTCTCTGTTCCAGGTAAAATCAAGGTGTTTGATTTTCGAGGCATATCGTTGACGCCTAGCCCTGGTGATGGTAGCCAAAGCGCGGACGTCAAGTGATTCATCACGAACCTGGCCCCAAAGGACAGACGTTGCGAGTTTGAACCATGTGCTATTGACACAAGCAGCCACCGCCAGTAGTGCCTTCGACTGCCTCTCGTCGCTGGCGGCACTTTCAAAAACCAGAGTCAGAAGTTCAGGAGTTTGGAGAACTTGATGCAAAGCCGTCATCTTGAGTTTTGTAGTGAAGTCAGTCGATGCGGTGCGTGGGCGAGATGTAGTAATTGCGTACCTCTCCTCTCTGTATATGTGATGCAGCGTAGCTGGGTCGTCGTCGTGTAAGTGACTCAACAGCTCGCTGTTCCGAGGTAATTACGAGAATAGGTGGTCGTTCGATCCGCGTCCGTGGAAACTTTATGATTTGTTGTCTCAAAAAACCTTGGCTCGTTGTTGAGCGAACAGCAGCATATTGGGGTTCGTTTCCAACGACGGATAGATATTCATTGGTTTTGGCCCTTCAAAGGTGAGAACGTAGACGGGAGGGGAGGATTTCAGCAATAGAGAAGGACGAAGGTGAAAGAAATGTAGAGTTAAAATTGATACTCGGATAAGAAATGCAACAAAAAGGGGAAAAGCAAACGCAGAGTGTGATTCTTGATTCTTTCGTCGCAGCCATAATCGTTTCATCGCAGAACGCTGCCAGAGCCTTCTCTTTCAATCAAGTCCTACCCTCATAGAAGAACCAAGACATGTTCAGGTAGGTGGGTGGGGGAATTCAACATTTCGACAGTGCAGGAGGGGATTTGGGTGACGGACAAGGAAAATTGGGTGGTTGATTGAGAGAAAAGAAAAAAAAGAAAAAGGGGGAATCCGCCAAAACGCCGAGTATTTATGCACAATAGCTCTCGTAACCCAACGCGAGAAAAAGGAGAAAAGAGCACAAAAGGTCGGTTGCGTAAGGAACCTGGTGAGAGGTAGAAGGGAATGCCGGGGTGATGGCGCAACGGCAGTTGTAAATGCGTCATGTTCGGCGAGTTGGAGGACGCTGCAAAGTTGGGTATCTCAAAGGCAAAGGACATGACGATTACAAAATCAGACAAGCCTTTCTCTTCTTCTTTTTGCTAGGGGCCATCATGGGAGTAGGATTCTCTGAAGGTTTGCTAGAGGTCTGGGGACGTCTCTGTTGCTGTTGTTGCGAGTTGCTGTTCTGGGCGGTGAGACTGCCACGGCTGGCTGGGGGAGACTGGTTCAGGCCCTCTGCTTCTGCGACGACGGTGTTGATGGCGGCATCGAAAATCTCGTGGACGCCGGTCATCTCCTTACTACTGCACTCCATGTAGAGGGCACCCATCTTCTTAGCGACGGCCTGGCCTTGGTGGGTGGTGACGGGAGTGAGACCCTGGGTCTTGAGGAGGTCGATGCAGGTGCGCTTGTTACGGAGATCCGACTTGAGACCGAGCAAGATGATGGGAGTGGTAGGGCAGAAATGGAGGACTTCGGGGTACCACTGTGTGTATTAGTTGATGGGCGTGGATGTTGAGGGTGAGTGTGTGTGTGTCTCGCGTACCTTGTCCATAACATTTTCAAGAGAGTTGGGGCAGTCAATGGCGAAGCAGACGAAGAGCAAATCGGTCTCGGGGTATGAAAGGGGGCGCAGTCTGTCGTACTCTTCCTGACCAGCGGTATCCCAAAGAGCCAGTTCGACAATCTTGCCCGAGGGCTTGTGTTCGCAGTGGGTGATGTAGTTCTCGAAGACGGTAGGCACGTATTTCTGGGAGTCGTGTCAGCTGTGTTTGTCCAAGACCAATGCTGCGATAGAGACAGAGAGAGAGTACACACCTCAGGGAAGATGCCCTGGCTGTAGCTGATCAACAGACATGTCTTGCCGCAGCCACCGTCACCAACGACAACAAACTTCTTCGAGTACGCGGGCGGCTCAGTCAAGCCAGTGCCAATCGACTCGCGTCCTGAAGATGTGACTGAACCATCGCTGCGACGGCCACTGTCCCTTCTTTGAGGGCCGCGGCGGAGAGATGTGACGGAAGCATTCTGCAGCCTCGAGTTGTGTCGGTGTGTAGCCGACATGGTGTGTGATGGGCGAGAGGAATCCTGAAGAAGGTTTGTTGGTAGCGGATATTATGCGAGGAATGTGCTGGCGGTTGTGTATAAATCAGTCTGGGCCGGTATGGGCTGGGGGAAGAGTTTGGAGGGGAAGTCGAACAAGAGTTGTACGCTGAGAAGGTCAAGAAATGTAGGCCAGCCTCATCATAATCATGCCCAACTTCAACGGAGACGCTGTTTACACACGGATCCACCGTTGCCCCGGCACCGACGCTCCCAAAGCCACCGCCTTGGCTCCCGCACAAGCCCGCACAAGCCCGCACAAGCCCTGCCGCCGATGACTGAGGATCCTGGATCCACCAGCTAACCCATGCGAACCTGCAAGCACTAACCTTGATCGCTGCTTGCGTTCGCACTGTTGTATCGCAATCGCATATCTAGCCTTGTAACTGTCTCATCTGCAAATCGTTCGAGACTGCCGCCTGCCGTTTAGCTATATTCCACACGCTCAACCCATGGAGGTCCATTCCCCACACTTCATCTTGCTCTGCTAGAGACCCCTCAACATAAGCCTCTTGTTTTCCTGCTCTCATCGTTTCTCCGTACTGCGCCAGAGAAGCCAACTCGTCTTGCCGCGCGCTTTGCTCGCTAGCGGCTCCAGCACTGTTCAGACAAGACAACCCTCCAAAATCCTCCGACACTGGACTGCCGTCACCGCTTGTCCTCCAACATCATGTCTAATGTCGCTGCCTCTACCCCACCAAAGGATCCTGTTAAACAAGCTCGTGCCTTGACCGAAAACCTGCCAGACGCTGGCCTACGAGGTCTTGACCATTGTGCGTCATCACATGTTCTGTATCCCCCTTCAGCTTGTCCTCCTTGCTAACACCCAGAAGACTCTCGCAAACTACCAAAATGGCGTTATCGTCTAAGGCAATCCCTCCTACCGATTGTCCGATGGGAAACTCCCTATCTGGCCAAGCTTCAACAAACCTGCCGAACTCCTTTCCTTGATTCGTACTTTGCAATGACGGCGAACCTCGGCACGCATACCTTCTTCATGGCTGCGCTTCCTGTATGCTTTTGGTGTGGCTACACTAGCGTTGGTAGAGCGTACGATCATCGGAATTTTCTTGATATGCTAGATCTATACTGACTTGTCGCAGTTTGGTGCACATGCTTGCGTTGGGTGTTTTCTTGAGTGGTTGGATCAAAGATCTGGTATGTCTACCAAGGCCTTTGTCTCCTCCTCTGCAGAGAATTACCATGTCCGGTTCTGCAGCTTTGGAGTATGGTTTCCCATCAACCCATTCGACAAACGCCGTATCTGTGGCATTCTACTTCCTGTATCAACTGCACACCTCGACCGATGATGTTGCTTCGCCGCAGAGATTGTTTGGCCTCTGTCTTGGGTACTTCTACGCGATATCAATTGTGCTAGGTCGCATGTACTGTGGCATGCATGGCTTCTTCGACGTGATTGTAGGCAGCACTCTTGGTGCGTTGATCGCCGTAGTTCAGCTGGCTTATGGAACGTCGTTCGACGACTGGATAGCTGCAGGATCTTGGACTCACCCGGCATTGGTTTTCTTGATCGTACTTCTTGCGGTGCGCTTTCACCCAGAGCCAGCGGATAACTGCCCTTGCTATGATGACAGCGTGGCCTTTGCTGCTGTAGTGTTGGGATGCCAGCTAGGGCACTGGCATTTTGCAGGGACGAGTATCGCAGTTGTTGGCGAGCCTCCAGCTACTGTCTTCTTCAGCCTCGCGAAACTTGGATGGCTCAAAACTTTGGCTCGTGTTGTCGGTGGTGTGGTTATCGTGTTCCTCTGGAGAGCTACGATGAAGCCTCTACTCCTAAGATGTCTACCCCCACTCTTCCGATTCCTCGAGACTGGTGGTGCTACTCTGCCTCGGCGATTCTTCACGCAAGCAAGGTAAGAACATCTTCACGTGTTCGCACAAAAACGTGTCTAACAAGTGGCAGCGAGTACAAAAGAGTCCCTCCTCTTCGACAAGACGACAACGTTATCCCATCTGCTTCAGATATCCCAGGAATGCTGTCCAATCTTCGCCATCCTCGCAAACGTGGTATCTCGATCGGACCACAGTCAGAGGCAGATGCTCGAGAATACATTGCCAACAGGGAACGAAAACGTAGAGAGAGTCGTTCCTCTGCCGATGGCAGCGATTCTAGGCCTCGATTGACCAAGAGTGGGTCTTTCTACAACACTACATTAGAAGAAGAACCTACCCTTGTGAAGCAAAGACGTTTTGAGGACGGTTCGGACAGCCACAGACCTGCGACACCGCTTGATACGCCTGGGCAAAAGGGTGACCTTCTCATGCCCGATCCATTTAACGCTCTCCCATTGACGCCTCCGCCAAGCGATAGCGGCAATGGCAGCGATGCAGGAAGAGAAGAGAAAGAAGAAGGCGACGACGCAGAGCAAGATCACCAGATGTTCCTTGCGTTGGCAAAGCCGCGAGTACGGTATGATGTTGAAGTCGTGACCAAACTGGTCATTTACGCAGGTAAGGAGTATCTACTGACACGGAATGAGCTCGGCTAATGAGTTCATAGGCATTGCATGGCTTGCAGTGGAGGGCAACCCGCTTCTCTTCGAGATCACAGGAGTTGGTAAACACAGTGTGTATTGAACGCGTTGATGAAAGGACGAGGGACGAAAGAAAAGCACAAAATGATGATACCCGTACAAAGAGATCGAGCCGGTACATAATGTCTATAGCCTCGTGTGGTGTTTGAACTCTCTTGCACGAAGCTGCAATTCCAAGATGCTATGCACAACATATGTTCTCCATCGTAGATCGTACGCGCAAGAGCAACGCAAAGACTGATAAGATGGTCAATATAATCTTTACTTGACACTCAACTGCACGCTAGCTGCCAGATCTCCAATAACAGATGTCAAAGATTATCCAGCTGTAGGAAAGCACAAAGATATCAAATGTTGGGAATTGTCCAGTCACTGCTTTTTTGAAACCTTAACACATAATTAGAATGCAACAAATCGTATGAAAATATGTCTTTAAGCCGTTCCAACTTTTCAAACCTCGGATGGCTATGAAACTTATCGAGTGGTTAGCTAAGAACGGGCCACTAGAGGCTAATATTGCAGCTAAGGAAAGAGAGGACAACAACGAAGTTGTAGGCGTCGGAGAATACGGAGGACATGTCAAAGTTGAACGAGCTTGTTGTACTCGAGGAAGAGGTTACGACTGGAGTGTTAGAGAACAGCCGACAAGAGGGAGTGTTAGACTGTTGTGAACGAATACGAACAGGAAGCCATGGATGTAATCGCAGTATGAGCGAACATCCCTTCCCTGAACACAGCAACTGCATTCATCACACCTCCAGAATACCACTAAGATAGCATAACCACGTAATGAAAACACAAAAAGGGGACAAAGTATACTTTTGATTTTTCGCAGCTCCCAGCAGATGGAAGCGAAAAGGTATATAACAACTTTCCTTCTATGGCAAAGTAGCCAACTCGGCATCGATAACCTCCTTGATCTTTTCCGGCAACGGCTCCTTGAGTTCCGCCACTATTAAAAATCAGCATGTGTTTCAAGTGCATTGATACGAGGCTGGGACAGCGGACTAGACTTACAAGTTTTGCGTAGGCGGGCAGTTTGCTCCTTGAGTAGGGGATTGGCGTTGTCGATTTTGGAGGCGGCGACCAGGCATTTGAGGGCTGGAAGGTACTTTTCTCTGCGGATGAATACCTCGAAGCCTGCTTGTTGGGATCTGATGTTCAGGGGGCTCTCTGCCAATAGGGGTGAGAGATACTTCATGGCCTCGGATAGGGGGTCCTTGGTCTTGAGTAGCTCTTCACCCTGTGGGTCTGTGTCTTCCTTCTTGACGACCTCTTCTGAAGCGGCTGTGGCCTTGGCGGCAGCGGCAGCCTTCTTGTCTGCCTCGGCCTTTTCCTTGTCCTTGCGTGCCTTCTTCTCTGCCTTCTTCTTGTCTGCGTCGCTCAGATCGCCGTTAGCAGATCCGCAGTTGGGGTCATCGAATAGCTTGACGTAGATGTCGATAGCCGAGTAAGCAGCGCGCGAGTAGAAAGGATGTTGACGTAAGTGGTCCTCCCATCTGATCATATCCACATACGCACGGATCATACCCTTGCGCAGGGAGAAACTGTGGAAGTCGAATTGATCCTCGAACCAGACGTCGAAGATGTCGTGAATAGACTTGAAGCGCTTGAGAGCCAAACCGAGCTTGTTTTGACGCTTGTAGGCCTCACCGTCCTCGAAGAGGTACCACATGCATTGCATATCCAGCAAGTCGCCTAGCGGGCCACCGTTGGCTTCTTTGCGGGTGAACAGACCCATGGTGTTGATGGCGTCATCGTTTTGGTTGTTTCGTAATTGGTATTTGGCGCACTTTGTGTTGATGTAGCGGTCTGCGCGGTCCATTTCGCGGGCCTCGTTCATTTGCTTGGAAGCCTTTTCCAGGTCTCCCGAGTGTTTTGTGATTCTGGCTTTTGTGAGGTGGAAGGTGTAGTCTTGGGGGTTGGTGTTGAGCGAGATTGTCTTTTCGATGTATTCGGAGGCCTTTTCGAGGTTGCGGCAGAGGTGGTAGTCGTAGTGTTGTGCGAGGAAGTAGTTTACGGCGAGGTCCCAGTTCTTGCCATTCTCTTCGCTGTTTTGCGAGGCGTATCCGAGGACGAGTTGCTCGATGGTCTGCTTCTTGGATTCGTCGTTGTAGAGAGCCTTGACATTGGCGAAGGTCGAGGGAACACCCTTGCGGAAGACCCTTGTCAAATAGACGTCGGCGGCCTCCTTGAAAGCATCGCCCTGGAGGAAGTCCAGCGGCACACGTCTGGGAGCATCAATTCTCTCGCTCTTCTCGGCGAAAGACTTGTAGAGGTCCTGCAATTGTGTGTGTTGAGCCGAGTCATTTCTGTCCAGACTCAGAGCCTGCTCCAAGCCATCGTAGTAGGCGCGTCTCTCGGCGTTTCTCTCGAGCAGAGCACGGTATGCCTTCTCAGCCTCCTCTTTACGACCCAGCTTCAACAAGTACTCGGCCCTCAATTCCATAACGGCGGTTCTGTCGGGGTTTGATCTATAGATGGCCTTGAGACCCTCAAGAGCGCGTTCGTAGTCGCCAGACTCGGCGATGATTGTGTTCTTGTATAGGACGGCTTCGTGGTGTTCGAGATCGGTGGCCGGCGGGGGGTTCTTCAAGGTGCCTTCGTAGGTGGTCAGGACCTTTTCGGCGGCCTGGTAGTCGGCAGCCATGTGGTGTGCGATCGCAAAGGCAGTCCAGTTGGCACGAACGGAGGGAGCAGCTGTGACCATGGTTTTGCGGCTGTCGACGAGACCCTTCCAGTCGCGGGTTTGGGCCTGGAGGAGGGCAAGGTCGCGCTGGATCTGGCGGGACTCGGGATCGAGGCGAAGGGCGAACTTGTAGGCCTTGATGGCCTCATCGTAGTTCTTGACGGAGCGGTACAACAAGCCGTAGACGTGCCAGCAGACATTTGACTTCATGGCATTCTTGAGGGCGAGCTTGGCCAAGTCGAAAGCCTCTTCCGTCTTGCCTTGTGAGTTGAGGATCAGGGCCTTCATGGCCTGCGTGTCGCCATGGTTGGGAACCTTTTTCAAGACCTGGTCGGCGGTTTTGATACCTGCGCAGAGTGTTAGCCCAGTCGGTGGTTCTGGTAATCGTGAATTGGCGCACCTCTTTTGTACTGCTTTGATTCATAGAGTTGGACGACCTGCTTGAACAGGGACTGTTCCTTGGACGACAGCGGTACCGACATTGTCGTGTGAGAAAGATGTGTGTGCACAGCTCAATACTCGTAGCTTCCCACCGTCGTCGCTGTTCTGTCCCACCAAGCGCACTTCGTCACTCGCAACAAGTTTACCCGAAGAAGTTCCCGATGCCGGCCATCGGACACGAACTCCGACGAAGTCTCCAACCAACGTCGTCCGACATCTCTATATCGCTTCATGTGAATATTCAGTGAAAACACGTCAGATGGTCTCTCTCCTATGAGTGTGCCAGTTCAGGAAATATCTAGTATCTCAGCACCTGCAGTTCTTCTGGGTACCATCCTTCGAGAAGAACCGTAGTGACAGCATTGGAGAGCCAGATTACAATTTTGGCCTGCACCTCTGATGTATACAAGGCTCTCGACTGAATGGTAGAAAGCAATGTATCAAAAAGTTCCCGACGCTATCGAGCGTTCTGGTCCATAACGATAAGTCTCCTGGGACAGCACACGGTCAGACTCGCCAGTTGCATATGCCATCGTCGATCAGCAACCCGAAAGACACATTCTCTAACTCGGGTGTGTATATGCAAAGAGAGAGTTCTTGGATAGCAGGTATTTTAGTTCATCACCGACTTCCATCGCGTCAACAGGTATGCACTACATCTTTCTACATCTCAAGCAAAAAGAAACATTTATTATCTAATACAAGGAGCAAAAGAAACGCCGGAAGACCCCGCGGAAGAAACTGGCTAACTTTGCTCAGTTTACTTGTGATTTTTTTCATTCTTTCTGACGGGGTGGCTTTGCATCTGTTTTTTCTGTTTTTTCTTCTTTTTTTTCTATTATTTTCTTTGTCTCATTTTTTCCCTGTTTGCCCCTTATATTTTTTTCTGATGATGCTGTGGATTGAACCGGAGACTGTTGGTACCTTGGATTGGTTACCACACGCCGAACCAGGTGGGCTACCGTGCCGATGGCCCAACCTGGTTGGTGGGAGGGTGCTCGGTGAAACGGACTATCTAGCTTGCGGCCATTGTTGTGATGACCAAGTGAAGTGATGTTTCTGAGGGCGAAGAGTCTGTAAGTACCCAGCGCGCTGTGTGTATCTATCATAGTAATCAATCAATAAGAGAGATGCATATGGCGCGCTGGATGTCCGCAGCCTCTTCTGCGCCTTCATGAGTCTGTTTCAGCCATTAATAGCAATACGGTAGACCCCATCATAACCAAGCAGACGAGAGTATCATGCAACGCCATAATCCTCCAAGTGAAGTGATAGTATGGTTCGAGGAGTGCGCGTGTTCGACCAAAACATCACCTTGCCTCGCTCTCGTCTCTGTCGACCTTGCCATAGCCATCAGGGTCTCCGCCGTCTGCCTGTCAACGACTTCGTGGATCCTCACAACTCCGCCCCACTCTTACACTACTGACATCCACCTTTCCAAATGTTTCGACTCCCGAGGAAACAGGAACAGTCCCGCCATCGTTGTTGCTCTTCGCTACCACACCTCGCGGCGCAGATCCAATACTACAAGCCTAGCCGCAGTCTCTCCCTCTCCTGTGGGGTCCCAGATCTCGTAGACCAATCCACAGAGCTCTCAGAAGGGTCGAATTGGTCGTATGTCTACTGGTCATTGAGAGCAAGTTAGCATCAGAAGTCGTCTGCAACAAGTTATGGAAAGGGATCGAAGCCTGGCGCTGTTTGATTGGCATTGAACTCCTGAGAAGTGTGAGAATCTTCCTCTGGGCAACACTGGGCAGAGGAACGAACGAGACGCTGCCAGGTATGGCTACGAAGTCGGGAGTAACATCACCAGAGAAGAGACTGGTATCACCTGCCGAATCCGAAATGCATTGGGCTATAGCGGAGGGGCTGGAAGCCCTTGTATGAGAGAGATCACGGAAGGCGTGATTTGTGCGTTCTTGTGGCTTCCATAACAATCAGCGTCGGCTCCGATATGGTCTGGCAAATTGTCATATGATCAGTGTTTGGTCGTATGATGACAGCTCTGGTGTCAAGAAAAGTCAGACATCTGGCAGATCTCAACGACTAGGAACCTACGGAAGGCAAGTGTGATGTGAGTCACACCTTCTGCTTTGTTCATGAATGTTTTCTGACGCCCATAGCAGCAAAACAGGAAAGCGGGATGGGACTCATCGCGCTTGCTTCTGCTTTGGCGTTGTAGCACATGTTTACTCCAGGGCACCTTCTTCCTGCATTTTATCCAAACAAATCGCTCTCCTATACTTCTGAGCAAATCCAACTTTTCTTTATAACCATAAGTATTGTCCTTGCCATCTAGCGGTCTCGTAAGAAAGCATCGAGTTTCCTTCCACTTGCATAATCCTCTCTGACTGCCTCGCAGATAGCTTCCAGCTGATCTCCTTCAATCAGCTCCTCAATCCATCGAATGTTCACTTTTCGGCTCTTTCGAAACCCTGCGACCATCTCCACGATCCTATCCCTGACTTTCTCCGAACACTCTATGTGACTCCGTACTCGACTGCGGAATGGGGTGTACGTGATTCCGTCTTTGTTGACAGGGCCTGGAATATACGATTCGACGCGAACTCTAGCAGGTTCGGACGTTGCGACAGCGAACTCGATCCTCAAGAACGTTATCAGGAACGAATTCCCGAATCTGGCCTCCATGAAGATAGTCCCCAGCCAAGGAAGATATTGAGCCAGGCTCATACGTTGGAGCTCGCTCCATGGTATCGATCGCACATTCTTTACCGCCGAACGCGAATTGCTGAGATAAAGGATACATTCTCGAACGTCTTTTCCTGTTGTGCCACGCCAAAAGTTGAGGGTTACGTTTTTGAAGACCAGCGGCGCGCTTTCGTTGCGGACACCTTTGCTGACCGCGAGTAGAGGATGGGGGAACCTCTTCTCTGTGGGCGAGGACAACAAATGTTCGAAGACCTGCAGACGAATCTCGGTAGGCAGTTGCAAAAATTTCTTGAAAGATTGTGGCTTCTGCCGCGAGAGTGACAAGCAGGATATGGAAGATGTAAGTCCATCTATCTCGTATCCCGGGGATGGCGGTGGTGTCATGGACTTTCTTCTCGTTTAGATGTGGATTTCTTGACAGAGACATGCAAGCGGGACGGAGTGGGATAAGGGGTGTCGTTGGTGATCTGACTTTCAAGTTTCTGCTCTGGCAAGGATTGGTCGTAGTGATCAAAAGAAAGGTAGGGTAGAGATCACAAGCATCTTTTTGATCATCCTTGCCTAGCATGAGTCTGTCAGCATAGTCATCTCTGATACAATCAGGTTTGCTCATCTAGACATATGAGGCAGCACATCGACTAACTTTGCTTCAGAGACTCTATGGCGAACCGATAGGTATACGTACGTAACAATCTGGCTCGGAGAGCTCACATGATACCCAGATGCGACCAAAGACGAAGCAAAAGAGCCTCATTCTGGATCAGCTCCATCCATATCCAATAGACCGTTCATCTTAACAAGAGAAACGGTAGTCTGAGATTCTAAGAAGACAAAAAGTACAAACATATGGCAAGGAAGAAGAAGATGATTAACGCTCGGCGAAGAATCCAGAAGCACGGTCAAAATTTGGAAATTCTCACTTAGCAGTGCCTCATACGTGGACATTACAGTGATTGTTGAGTATGAGACTATGAGTCACACTACAATCGCCACTTTACGTATGCGTATAAATCGAGAGGAAAAATGAGGTGCTCCGTAGATGGGGGAGATGAGGAGATATATAATTAGCCACAAGCCACATGAGCGATCCAACCTTCTCGACCAACTTTCTCGACCACATGTATTCCTCTGGCCAAGAACTGCAATTCTACCTAGCGTTCAAAAATCATAGCCCTTACCTTCTAGACCTCTTACGTCGTGATCGCCCGAACGGAGGCCAAGTAAAAGCTCCACGGCACTGAAGCTCTCTCACCAGACATTAAATACCAAGCAGAAGTGGTTTCATGTGTATCTTGGAAAACACAGCATGGGTCGGCCGAAAAAACAAAACGTACTCATATAAGGTACACTGCATATCGACAGAAGTCAAAGACAACATAAAGCCTGTGGGTTGGTATGCCATATAGGATTAAGCTGAGGCTTGAAGGTACACTTCGATCGGATATAATCTCATCTCCCAGCCAACTATTCAGGTCTTCCAGGTTGGAGATGGCCTTCTCAACTGCTCCGTGATGTCCTCTCTGTACGCCCGCTTCGTCAAGGCTCTAATTCGACGGTAGTTCCGCCTTGACAGTCACCAGACTTCGCAGAGCGGTTGCTCGCCATTGGTATCGAACAAAAACAGGTAACGGTCTTGGAAAAGCGGTTTCTTGCTTGATCCACCGCCTACCATGTTCTCTTTGCCCTCACGCAAGCAAGTGAGTTATGACTGTTATCAATTCAGGAAACAAGCCATTGAAGAGAGGTGCAGAGGACCGCAGCATGGTGGCGATCAAATTGGAACGTATAGATTTGAGGATGGATGTGCTAGACGGCAATAGCAAGGTGCATCAGTTGGCACAACCGCCAAGCTTCGTACCACCAGCCTGATACATGATGCCGATAATGCCGAGAGGGCCTCTCAACAATAGTAGGGAAGCCATCAAAGTCGCGACCACTAAGATCGCTCTTGTCCGAGACAACCAGTGCTTCGCGTCTAGTCGAGCCATCCTTGCCCGGTCAGCCGCCAATCCAGCTCTTGCCAAACCTGCAGCGCGCGTATATATGCACACTGGCATCCTCTATTGAATACACGAATCTCAGACGCCTTCAATGAGGCGAGTCGAATCTGATCGAGGAGGTTCCTGGGGCTGTGCCATTGATAATTTTTTCGCCATTTCATGCCAGACGATGCGTGATGGGGGCGATGGAAGGTCGTACTGTGGTGGCCTGCTACTAGACGCGTATGTGACGTCGCTGGCCGCTGGCGATGCACCGGCTTCGCTGGCCGAGTAGGGAAACAATGACTGTAGCTGCTCCAGTTTGTTTTGCAGAATTTCTTTCTGGACTGGATCGAAGCTAGGTAGAGAAAAAAGGAAACCGATCAGAAATGTGAAGTCGTCCACGCGGCCAGCCGTTTCTTGAACTGTAGATGCAGGAACTGTAATGATGACATTGGCAATTGTGTCGGTGAGCTCGAAGAGTTTTTGTTGAATGCCAGAACCATGAATCTCTATAGCTTGTCGTGAGAATCTTGTCATAAGCGCGCGTAGTTGTGTTGACAGGCGCACTGGGAATGACAGTGATAGTGATTCCTTTGATGAGACGGAGCTGAGCAAGCATTTCGACATGGCCATCTGCCATACCAACATTCTCAACCAGTGTTTAGTTACGATCAAATCCGCCTGTTGCATGTCCGACAATGGCGTTATGCCGATATGAGCTTCGTTTCCAACAGGCTCCTCGTCAATCTCTTTGTGTTTGCGGTCAATCCATTCCCGAGTCACTGTTGTGGTGCCGAACCAGTTGGCGAGAAAGCCTTCGTCGATGAGACGGAAGAGTCGAATGATCTGCAAAAACCCTTCGTGTACACCGGGAGGTATTGACGGGTCGAACTCCGGAAGATCATGCAAAGGTGGTAGCACTACCGGGCGATAGTTGGATATGGCCAGGTATCTTTCATGAATGAACACCTCCCAGTATAATCTTTGTCTGCGAGCACGCTCGTTTGAATTTAGCTTATCCATGGCTTCCGGGTGGCCAATACGAAGCATTTGAATCATGGTAATGGATTCACGGACGTAGTAGAAAGACATGTCCATGTTGGCAAGGCACATGAGAGAGATGTGAGTAAACTGGCTGATCATGACCCTTCGGACAGACATTTTCTCGTCGAAAGCAATAGCTGCCCTGGCTTTGATGAGTTCTTCTAGCCAATACCTCACTTGCGACTGAGAGTCAATGGAGTTGTCCGGGCTTTTGTTTGTTAATGCAATCGTGATGGCCGTGTAAGCATAGACGAAAGTTTTGGCTTCCGCATTCTGATCCATCTCTCGGATCGAGGCCAAAACATCATCCACGGTCATGATGGGGTTGACAGGGTATACAGAGGCCTCATAATCGTCCAGGAAACTAGTGAAGAATGGCGCGTCATGGATGATTAGAGATGGCGATGGTTGAGCAGGACTTGAGTCCGAGTTCTCGTTGCGTCCAGATGTGTTTTCCTTGTATTGTGCGATGAGTTTTCCACGCTTCAATGTCTTTGTTCTTGGCTTGGGCGCAGAATAAACACAGCGGAGATTGAGATGACTGCATTGCTGACATTTGGCCTGACCATTGCATTTGACTTTCCTGAGTTTGCAAGCATCACAGGCTTGATTTGTTCGACGAGTGGGCGGTAAGGAGAAAGATGTGTCCATTTCGTGATTGCAAGGTCATGTTGATGTGGAGAGAGAAAGAGCGACAGGAAGGTCCCCAGCCTGCGGAGACCGGAGACCGGAGAAACGTGCACGTCCAGCAGCCAGCTTGTGCATTGACCTCGGCCCGCTAGTTCAACGGCTCTCTCAAACCACCAAGGGGACTTCTTCATGAGCAGTCATCATTTATCAAATACTGGGGCTTGTGGCTACCATCTAGGAGAGGATTGTCCTGAGCCGTTGTGATCCTCTACGTTGGGTGGGAAGGCGAATGGGACAGTCTGTCATCGCTTCGAAAACCATGCCCCCACGAACGCGAGCGCCATCTCAACGCCACTCAGTTACTTTTGTTATGCGGCCTGTCTCTGCAGCACAGCTAGGTACATAAGCAGGGGGGCCTCTCACATCAAGACACACTTGCCTCAATCGAGCCATGGCCCCTCATTACAGGCGCTGGGGGTGATCCTCCACACTCAAGCTGTAGACACCCGAAGGACTCTGACTCGTCACATGTAGGGCTTGCAAAAAGGATCTGGAGTACACTCATCTCCAGTGCGGTAGCCATCGCGCACCAAGTACAAAGATGGACCCTGTAACTTATATCCTCTCATACGCAGAGACAAAGATTTCGGCGTTTAAAGGACTCCAAATGGTGAACCAAGATGGAGAACCCCGACTTCTGACCACTAAAGCCGCCGTTTCGCCCGCCATGCCTCACATGAACGCCGACCTCACAACATGTCTCGACAACCTTCTCCATATCGGCAAATCATTTTGATGTATCAGATGAGCGGGGAGCTGCTTAATCTCTTCCTGCATCGTGACCTTGGTTGCACGATTTGACACTTGACATGGGTGCACAATGCCGCAAGAACCCGTCAATTGAGTTGCCGGCGCGTTCGTTGCCGACCTAATGCTCAAACGCGGTCTACGGGTGTCACAACTCCTCAGGTCGAAGCAATGCAATCAACCAAGCGATGCGGACACAAACACATCGTGAGAGGGCCGCAATGTCAACGAGCTATGGATATAACATCCCCGGTAAGATGTAGCAGGGTTTCATCCTGTAGGTCCCCGATGGGTCGGCGAGCAAGAAAGCTAGTCCCTTCTGGAACAGACACTCGTATATCGTCAACCTGACTATTGTTTTTCCTTCAAAAGGACCAGTGTTTGCTTCCCTCATCTCATGTTCCCTGACACACTCACCCGTCCACCCGCATCTCTTCCAACTATGCGTAATCGATTGTCTGCCAGTGTGTCTTCGGACACAGAGAGACAAACCAGCAATGAGTTTTACATGTTCAATGATGTCGTTCGCTCTCTCTCATGGTCGAATGTCACATTGACCGTCGAGGATCGTTCGACCAAGCAACCGAGAGACCTCATCAGCCGTGTCAATGGACGTGTCCAAGCTGGTGAGTATGTTCCAAGCCCTCATGTTCAGGTTTTGCTGACATGGTATCTAGGAGAAATCCTTGCCCTCATGGGCCCATCTGGTAGTGGCAAGACAACACTTCTCAACATTCTCGCAGGCCGCAACAAAAGTAGCCATGGCACTGCTGCAGTTAATGATGCTTCTATACAAGCCTCGGTTTACAAAAAGCTCACGTCTTTCGTTGAACAGGAGGATGCTCTTGTTGGTTCTCTGACTGTACGTGAGACACTAGAATTTGCAGCACGTCTGGCCCTCCCTAGGTACGCTGAGTCTATCTATGCTTGTGGACATTGCTGACGTTCGAAGATCTGTTTTGAAGGCTGAAAAGGGCACCAGAGTCCAAAATCTGATTGACAGTTTCGGCCTCAAGAAGCAAGCCGACACACTCATTGGTACGCCCATACGCAAGGGCATCAGTGGTGGCCAAAAGAGGCGTGTCAGTGTTGCCAGTCAACTGATCACCGCCCCCAAAATTCTCTTCCTTGACGAACCCACCAGTGGTCTTGACTCGGTGGCTAGCTTCGAAGTCATTTCTCTGTTGAAGAAGTATGCTCAGCAACACCAGGTATTTTCTTCTTCCTATCTTGACATGCTTCTTGCTAATTAGTTTTCAGCTCATTGTGGTAGCCAGCATTCACCAGCCATCGGCCGCCACTTTCCAGCTATTCGACAAACTGCTGCTACTATCCCAAGGCCAGACATGCTACTTCGGAGCCGTTTCAGGCGTAGCGCCATACTTCGCCCGACTCGGCATGCCCGTTCCCGATCTGATGAATCCCTCTGAGCACATTCTCGACCTCACGAACACCGACTTCGAGTCTGAAGATGAAGAGGGAGGCACTGCCTCTCAGCGTCTTGTTACCATCCAATCTGCTTGGAAAGAGCAAGGCAACAGCGACGATGTTGGAACGCCAATTCTTGAGAAGAGTGATGTCTTCCCTGATGTTCAAGGACTTGGTTTGGCTCATGACCTGGGCATACCCGTCACCCTTCTACACCGTCTCTACCTCAAGTCATATCGTGATATCGTCACCTACTGGATCCGTGTTGCTATGTACATGGGCCTTGCGGTCATGATGGGCACTGTCTGGCTGCAATTGAGCACCATTCAAAAGGACATCCAATCTTTCGTCAACGCTCTCTTCTTTGGTTCGGCTTTCTTGAGCTTCATGGCTGTTGCCTATGTGCCTGCCTTCCTTGAGGATAGATCCATATTCGTCAAGGAGCGAGCCAACGGTCTCTACGGTCCTTTGTCATTCGTGGTATCCAACTTTCTCATCGGCCTGCCCTTCCTCTTCCTGATCTCTATCCTGTTCGCCACGGTCACTTACTGGCTCATCGGCTTTCGTCCCGATGCTACTGCCTTCTTTGTGCACGTCATGTGGTTGTTCTTGGACCTGGTCGCGGCCGAGAGCCTGGTTGTTCTCGTCTCGTCTCTCTTCCCCAACTTCATCATCGCTCTTGCCCTCGTGGCTTTCGCCAATGGCCTTTGGATGTCCGTAGGTGGCTTTCTCGTGCCTACTGGCAGTCTCAATGTGTTCTGGCGCTACGTCTTCCACTACATTGACTACCAGGCCTATGTCTTCCGCGGCATGATGGTCAACGAGTTCGATGGTCGCACCTACCGCTGTGCTGGCAATGTTGTCACTGGGTGTTCGTGCGCGTACGAGAGTGAGCTCTCGGGTCAGTGCAAGATAGATGGCAAGGCTGTGCTGCAGTACTATGATTATCCCACTGGTCAGCTGGGCAAGACTGTCGGCATCATGATCGGCATCATTGTTGTTTATCGTGTGCTCGGATACTTGGCTCTCTATTTCAGAAAGTAAGGTTGTTCGCACGGCATGCATGGGAGGAAATCAGAATCACGCGGTTTGCCTAAGCAGGGGCTGAGGCTTGAAGGCTTGTAGATGGGCTGATGAATGAGGACCTGGAAGTTTGTGATAGGGTTTCATAGTTTCTTCTTACCAAGCAACACGTCCGATGAAATGACCTCAGACCTGACGCCTTAGTAATACCCCATTCGGTGCTCTGCGTGCTATGCAAGGAACCCCGGGTTTGCTCGATGTCAACACTTCTACTCTCACTATAGATGTCAATAACGCCAGTAGCTATCAACATGCAAGAAGTCTTTGTGAGTGCAGCTCTGTCCTCTAGAAGGCACTTTTTCTCAAGTCGGTGTTTACAGGCTCAACGAAACACTGTGGACTGATTGGTAACACCATTTTGGCATGGGATGTGCTGCGCGATCTTCTGCGGGAAGGAGCTACCGTGAATGAAGCAACCAACATTCAGATGACCACGGTGAGTCGACCCTTGGAAAGTAGATGTTCTGATACAATCGTCAAAATCATGTTAGATGGTGGCTTGCCTCGAGTGCCTCTCCCGCGGGACCGTGGTCGGTCGTCGGCAAGACATGCATGGTGTTCCAATGATCTGCCTGTGTGCCTGTGCAGAGATGGTCATGGCCGCAAGATACGGGTCTTGGACCAAACCTTGATGGTCAACTGGGATATGCATTCGCTCACTGGAAGACAAACGGGCATGGTCTGGTGAGAGAGGTCCGGCCGGAGAGGAGGTATTTCCTGGCGGCTCCGCGACAGGCACAATGTGGAGGCTTCATGCGATAAGCGCAGGCATTGAGCTCCTTCCTGGCAGATGAGCATGCAGATGAACAGCAAGAGCCAAAGGCAGGAGGGTTTCAGGGTTCTAGAAAGTCAAAGAAGGTTTGATTACTCTATCAAGCCAAGGCTGTTGCAGAGGGAGAAAGCCACAACGGGGGATGTTCGAGGATTGAAGGATTCTGAGGGCGGCTTCATTCAACCAATAGTAGCAGTGCACCGGCATGAGCTTGATGCATACGATTTACTTGCTGCCTAACTGCCTCGCCGTATCCCAGTCGCCAGATCCAGGCGCTTTGTTTCGAGACTGAAGACGCTTTATTCTTTGTCAAGGTAAAAGCATCGTGTCGCCGCGTCAGCAAATCTTCAGGACTTCAGCGACAAGGCAGCAACAATGCCGTCACCAGACGAAGCCGTGTCGGACGGCTACTTCAACGACCTTACACAACAACTCCCCGACCAGCCCAATCAATCGCAACAGCCCAAATCCAAGCGTGTAGCATGTGTGCTGTGTCGCAAACGCAAGCTCCGATGCGACGGCGCCAAACCATCTTGCGCGACATGCACACGCCTCTCCCACAATTGCGCCTACGATGAGGTGCGCAAGAAGAGCGGTCCCAAGAGGGGCTATGTCAAAGAGCTGGAGGCCAGATTGGCCCAAGTGGAAACACTCCTCAACACACACAGCGGTCTTGAGATGCCGCAGAATGCCGTCGACCTCCCTGTCGGCGAAGATCTGCCAGACTTTGGTGGCATCGATCCCGACCAAGGACGTCTGATGCAGGAGATGCGTGTCGGCCAATCTCCTCTTGAACGTACCAACACCATGCCTGCTTCACGTGTGCCTTCCATGTCGGAAACACACGACATGGAGCCTGCCTTCTGGAAGGGCAACATCGACACGCCGACATGGGCTCCCAACTTCTCGCTACTTGCTACAGGCATGGACGAACCTCTGCCACCTCCGGAAGTCTGCGCCGAATTGACCAACCTTTACTTCGAACGCGCTCATCCCTCAGCTCCACTCTTGCATCGTCCCCGCTTCCTCATGGCTATGCAGAACACATCACCTGCTTTACGTCCTCGCCTGTCTCTCCAATACGCTGTATGGACTCTGGGTGCGAGCTCTCATCCCAAATATGAGGACATGGTCGACACTCTATACCGCCGAGCCCGTCATTATCTCGAGCGCGATGAGATGACTGGCGTCGGCGAGAAGATGATCAACCTGGCAACTGTCCAAGCCTGGCAATGCATCTCAGCTTACGAGTTCAAGATGATGTACTTTCCCCGAGCCTGGCTGAGTACTGGCAGAACCAGTCGCCTTGCCCTCATGATGGGTCTTCATCGTGTCGATGGTCCTAACATTGACGTCAAACAATGCCTACCTCCTCCCAAAGACTGGATTGAGAAGGAAGAGCGCAGACGTCTGTTCTGGTTGACCTTTGCTGCCGATCGATATGCTAGTATTGGCACTGGATGGCCCATGACGATAGATGAAACCGACATCTTTACCGATCTACCATCGTCCGAAGATGCCTATGACTCTGGTACGCCAGAGCCTTCCATCTCTCTACATGAAGCTTTGACGCCTGGGGGAGCTGAGACTCTATCTTCCATGGGCTCGGTTGGTGTCATTGCTGCTCTTTTCGGCCGCAACTTGTTGCATCTTCATCGACAAGCACCCGATCAAAACGATGGCGATATCAACGGCATCTTCTGGAAGCGGCATCGTCAGATGGACGGTACAATTCTCTCATTATTGCTTGGTCTCCCCGAATCATTGCGACTGCCACTTGCCGCCTCTGATCCGAAGGTCGTCTTCATGAACATGTGTGTTCATACTTCGGTTATCTGTCTACACCAAGCCGCTATCTTCAAAGTAGAAAAGCATCAACTACCAGCTAAACTCGCCACCGAATCCAAAATGCGCTGCTTGACTGCAGCTGCCGAAATCTCCAGCTTGATGAAGATGACCAGTCACCTCGATATGGCTCAAGCCAACCCATTCATGGCCTTCTCACTTTACGTCGCCGCTCGAGTTTTTGTACAATATCTGAAGTCCCGACCTCGTGACGATACCGCTAGAGGATCATTGCACTTCCTGTTGTCTGCTCTACAAGCCATGAAGAAGACAAACCCTCTCGCCGAATCATTCATAGCACAACTTGATGTTGACCTCGAAGTAGCTGGTCTCGAAGAACTACGCAGTTTACGCGTCCGTGCCGCTCGTAAAGCCCAAGCTCAAGCTCAGGAAACCATGCAATGCCCCTACGCCGAGCTAAACAAAGACACCACCAACGGACGCATACCCACCTTCGGCGACGGCGGTCTAGCCGCACACTCGGCTCCGAAACGCCAATCTCAAGGCAACCACCCATCCGGCGGCAACTTCCCACCCGAAGTCGCAGAGGCAATGTCCCAGCATACAGGAAACTTCAAGGGAATCTTCCCTGTTCGGATGAACATTTCCTCCGATAGTTCTACCGCAAACACGTCACCTCAAACACTTGGATCTAGCAGTGAGGCAGATATTATGGATTTATCTGCAAACAACAGTGGGGTTTCGCCTTCCGACTCGTCATCGTCTTCTATTCCTGCAAATCACTCTGCACTCATCTTCAGACAATCTTCAAATAATTGGCAAGGGTCTGTGCAACAGCAATCTCCATCGATGGGTTACACGCATATCCCTCAACAACAGCAACAGCAACAAACTATGCAAGATACACCCATGTCTACATTACTCCCTCACATGTCCGACTTTTCGACCACGGAGTTCATGAACTTCAGCAAGACGTCAACGAGTACGGTGTTAGAGCTAGGAGCTGTAGATGAAGGCCAACTCTTCCAACTCAGTGATGCAGAATGGGGGCAAGTGATGGGCGAATTCGGAGATGAGTTGAATGGAATGAACAATGGAGAATTACAATGGGAAGGCGGGGTGAGGAACGCTTTTGGAAATGTCCAATAGACGTGTGTGTGCGTGCGTGTGCGCAAAGGGGGCGAGGATCATTGACGACGAAGGAAAGACATTGAGGGCTCAGATCAAGGGTGGAGAGTGTTGCGCAACAAGGAAATCGGTGGCTTTTTTTGGGTATACCATGGAAATTTGTATTCTAGGGAAGGGCAAGGTGGGATGGTGTTGGGTTCAGGAGAAATACACACACAACTCTACTGCTAGGTTAAATCACGAATGTAACGAATATATATTTCTCATCTCAGATCATGCTTGCCACTCGATTCGAGCACCCGTCTCCTGAGATGGTGAAGAACAGCGGTTCTCCATGCTCGAAAACATATTCTCGACGCAACGTTATGCATTGCTGAAGCGTCGAGTGACTCTATCATGCAGTCGCGGAAAAGGTCGTTGAAAGTGACAAAATTGGTGAGTACTTGATTCAAATAACTGGGATTGATCATGTGTTTTCATTCTTGGCTTGCTTGCAATGCTTTTTGCATCTTCATCTCATCTAGTCCTAACACGAAAATCGAAAAATGATAACAGTGCTTCGCGATTTGCTCATCATTCTTCCTCATGCATGACAGATTCGAACTGTCCCATCTTTCATCCTCTCTTGCAATCATCTGCCATCTTTGCTTGTCAGATACTGATGATGCTCTTTACATGTCAGCCATACTGATGTCGCCGTCGCTCTCTTGACTAGCACTGGGCGGCATCTTCTTGACTGGGACGCTGCCTACACCAAGCGACGTCTCTACACCTTCCACGCCCTCGGGTGGTGCAGAAGGCATGGGCATGAAGATGGCCGGACTAGGGCTCAATGCCGTAATTGGTGGCACCACAGGGGTCTCGGCCATACTGTCTCTGCTGATGGGGCGAGGGGTATCGTGTTTGGTAGGAATGAGAGGTGTGTTGCCGGTCGGGAGGGGAGGCAGGGGTGAGCTTTGCATATGAGGGCCTGTGCGAAGGATGTTTGTCGCAGCTGAGGCGGGTGTTGCGGTGGTGGTGTGTTGGTATGTGTAGGGTGTGGCGTTTGCTGCTGCGGGAGTGTGAAAGGATTGAGCGTGCGAGGGCGAGGAGCTGGGTTGTTTTGTGGGCGAATGGGCGGCGGCGCGTTGTTGTTGCTGTGGCAGGGCGGGAGGAGGGAAGGAGGTGTTTGGGCTTTGGAAGAGACGCTGGCTAGAGGGTGAAAGGCTGTTTCTCGACGGGCGGTGGTGATGGGGTGTCGCTGAGCCATTAGTACGGTGCTCTGAAAGTCCGTGCGACGATGATGGTCGTGAGCCCTTGGTGGGCGACGGAGGGCCCATCTGCAAGCCGTTGGGCTGAAGCGCTGGCAGAGGGACCGAATGTGCTGAGACAGCGCCAGCGTGAGCTTGAGCATGCAAGTTGGAGAGGTCGCCATCGTTGGACTTTTGTGTGGGAGGTGGAGGGGAACTGCTGTAGTTCGATGCTGGGCGTGCAGGCGGCGGCAAGGTGGTACCGTTCCAAGCCTGCTGAGGGACGCCGACTGGAGGAGCTCCAGCAGGGCGGTGATATCCCGGTGGGCCAGGGCTTTGACCAGAAGGCGAGAGCGATGGGCCGTCAAGGAGGTTGAAGTGTCGGGCGGCGGAGCGTGGAGTGGATGTGCTGACTTCGACGGCTTCAAGAGGACGACCGCGAGGTGCTTCCGGAGCAGCTCCCTTCTGGCCTGGGAAATGCAGGTGCAACGGTGGCAGCTTAGGCTTTCTCTCGCAGTCTGAACAGACAAAGTGGAAGTCGTCCTTCTCTGCGTCCTTTTCGTCGATGCCGTGACACTTCGAATGCTGCCAGATATTACACTTTTCGCATGCAATCGAGTGTGTGCCGTCGTCGTAGTTCTGGCCATGCTTGCCACAAACGGCGCAATCGAAGATCCATTCACCCTCCTCTTCGGCCAGGGCGTCCAACTCTTTCTGTCGTCTTTCCATCTCCGCCTTAAGGTGACGCTCTGACAGACGGCCTTCGATCTCGTTACCCTCCTCGAGGCTCTTCTGGTTTTCCTCGAGCTTGCGAAGTTCTTCTTCATGGAGGATGCGCTTGACCTCGCGCTCTTTGAGTCGTTGCTCTCTGGTAAGCATGCGCGATTCGCGAGCCTGTATCTGTCAGTAACTTTCTTGCGATTTGTAGGACGTCTGTCACTTACGTGCTCCATCTTGCTCTGTCTCTGCTGCTCCTTGCGAGCCATGTCGAGCTCGGCCTGTCTTCGCTTCTCCACCTCAGCTGCCTCTTCTTCAGCCTTTCTTGCCTCGGCCTTGCCAGCAAGTCTGCTTGAGCGCTTAGCGCTGGCCATCTTCTGCAAGTTCTCCAATTCTCTTTGCTTCTTGAGCACTTTTTGACGTTGGGCTTCGACTCGCTTTTCGAGGATTGGCATAATCTGTTCGTTGATGCGCTTGACGAGTGCCTTCTCGTTCGGGTCGCGGCTCTTACGCAGAGATTCCAGGAAAAGGTTATAATCGTCGTGGGTGACGGCGATGCATTCCCACTTCATTCCGCCAAAACCGTCCTCTTCAGTTGGCTCATCAATCTTGACTTCTGCCTCGGTGTTGTCCTGCTCCTCTTCCTCAGCTTCGCCGTCTTCAGCGGAGTTGTCGAGCTTGATGCGTTTGCTAGCACGAGAGCCGCGTGACTTGCGTGCTTTGGCCTTTGCCTTTGCTTTCGGCTTCGGGGTAGGTGCAGGTGGTAACGGTGCCTCGGTGCGACGGTATAGGCGATCATCGTCCAGTACAAAGTAGGAGCGATCCTGAGAGTCCCAGCCGAGTTCTTCGATGCGCTATCGATGATATTAGTGAACGAAGCATATGATTGCTGCGGGGCGCATACCCATTGCGTCTGCTCGCTGTCTTTCTCCTCCATCAAACCGCGCATGCGCTCTGCATTGTTCAGGGTCCATGTTGACAGTTGGTGCAGCACGCGGATCTTTGTGAAGACGTCGAACTCGGCAAACTTGTTGGGCTCTTCTTCATCGCCGTAGGGGTTTCGCGAAGGAGCCTTGGCGACAAACTGGCGGCGGGTGTATTCATCATAGTTGTCGTAGCTGATATGGGTTAGTGAGATGTTTCTGGATCAGTGGCTGGGCTGGACGCACGTCAGGCCTCTGTGTGATGAGACGAATTTGAGGAGGGTAAGGCAGATCTCTGCCAGCTTCTCGGATGCTTCGGGTCTCAAACATTCATGCTCCAGATCCTATCATATCATCAGCAATTGATCAAGCGCATCAGAGTCGCCGGCGCATACCTCCATGTCGAACTCGGGGTCAATCTTGACGGGTTTGCCGAAGATGTACATGTATTGCATGAGGGCGGCAAACTGCCACATGTTCCGAAGGCGATCCAGTGTCTCATTATGGGGTTGTGCCTTTTCGACGGCGACAATGCTGCTGTCCAGGTCGGCCTCCTGGCGGGCGCGCTTCCTAGCGGGCATCTTTTCTACACAGGGGCCAAGCCCTTAGATTGAACAAAGACGTGTAGAGCAGTGGTATAGCTTTGACTGAGGGTTCTGAAGCGAGTCGGAGGTGGTAGAAGCCAGGAATGAATAACAGCTCGTCGAGAAAGAGAAAGACAATAATTCGGTTGTGCAAAGATAGTGAATAGACGCGACTCTCATGCGACGTGAAGCTGCTGAATCGCCGAAAGTGACGGTGCCAAGGCGTGAAGACTTCCGCCAGCCACCAGGGTCTTCACTCGACCTCCGCAATTATTTGCTCTTTTTTCTTTCACACTCACACTCGACCCACTTTGACTTTGCTCTTGATTGTATTTATTCAGCCATGCTGTGTGAACGACACACGTCTCGTCCCTTCGAGACATCTCATTGACTAAATCGCCAAAATGTCCACCTCCGAGCTGCCATCTTATCACGTCCGCAACAAGCTCTATGTCTCGCACTTCCTCTCGACATGGAACTCTCGCCTGTTTGAATTCGGTGCGGTCTTGTTCATCTCAACAATCTTTCCTGGCACCCTGTTTCCTGCTTCTATCTATGCTTTGACTCGCTCCGCCTCTGTTGTCGTCTGTTCGACTTTCATTGGTCGTCTAATCGACCGCTCTGAACGCATGCATCTCATTCGTCTGTCGATTAGTAAGTTATCTAGCCTCGTCAATACACATCCCTCTTCTTCTACATACCGTTTGACCTTTGTCGTGATTTTTGTTACTGTCAAATCTTTTGCGGGATTTTGTCGTCTTCTGGCCTGTTCTAGTCAGTCGTTGACCACTTCTAGTTGGCCAGAGAGCAGCCACTGCGGCATCGTGCTCGTTACTATGGCTCTTATTGTACTACGGCTACACATCTCTTGATTCGTGGTCTGCAAAAGCTGCACTGGCTCTTCTCTCCCTACTCGCCTGTACTGAAAAGCTCTCCTCGGTCATCAACACCATATCTGTTGAGCGCGATTGGGTTGTAGTGATATCCAAGAACAACGCCGATGACTTGCAAGAGCTCAACTCTCAGATGCGTCGAATCGATCTCTTCTGCAAACTCGTCGGACCACTTGCTATCGCCTTGGTCGATGGCTTCTCGACCAGCATTGCTATCCTTGTTACCTTCTGCATGACTGCTGCTTCCGTCTTCGTCGAATACTACGCTATTGCAAGAGTCTACTACGAAGTTGAAGACCTTCAAGCACGCCCTCTACCATCAGAAGATCCTCAGTCAACAAGTAGCTCGTCAGCTGCACGTCGTGCTCGTCTATTATGTGGGAGCTGTATCTCCTATATCCAACATCCGGCCTTCTTCCCCTCGTTCTCTTTGTCGTTACTGTACCTCACTGTTCTGACTTTCGGTGGCCAGATGGTCACATATCTCCTCTCAGTCGGCTTCAGTTCTATCTCCATCGGTCTCCTGCGAACAGTTTCGACTGTCTTTGAGCTCTCTTCCACATGGCTTGCGCCAAAGGCCATGCACAGAATTGGTGCCATCAGATGTGGAATATGGTTTCTCAACTGGCAGATTGTTTGGGTGGTAATTGCGGCTACAATGCTTTGGGTCGAGATCCCTCCTAGATATGCTGTTGCTGGCTTGCTTGCTGGTACAATCGCTAGTCGAATAGGGCTATGGGGCTTTGATCTGTCTGCTCAAGTCATTGTCCAAGAGGTTTGTCAGTTCAACTTATTACACACAGGGCCCATACTGACGCAACAAACCAGGCAGTCGAGCCGGACCAGCGAGGTTCTTTCTCCGCTACGGAAGCATCCGTACAAAGCATTTTCGAGCTCCTATCTTACGCCTCCACCGCAATCTTCGCTCGTCCGGACCAATTCAAGATACCTGCCGTCGTCAGTGCAACAGCCGTTGTACTCGCTGGATTGCTGTATGCCTTCTTCGTGCGTCAACGAAGAGGCCATCTATTCCACGCTTCAAAGTGTCTCAAGCGCAGCGGTCGTCCGACATGGCAGCCCCTTCTTCAAGAAGAAGATGTTGAGATGAGTTGAGACGCACACAAACAACGTGTCTCATTGCTCGAAAGAAGTTCAGAGGGATAGAACTGTGTCATTATCGCATGGCTACATTCGCCAAGCTCGTACGTCGCTAAAGATGCTACAACCTCCCGACCTCTGGTTAAATGATGCTACAATCTCCTGACCCCTTTGCTCAACCTTCCGACCCTCCGCTCATTCTCCCGTCCTTCCGTTCAAGCTCTTTCAGCTCGTCTCTGTCTCCGGTTCTCAGAAGTTCTCCGGCATAAAGTCCTTGAAAGGAAACGATGCTCCCTCAAACTCGAATTCCCTCCCAGGATGTCTCTCGTCTTCCGTCAGATCCCGATGAAGAACCTTCATCTTCTCATGCGTCTCCCGCTTCAGACTGTCCACAAAGTACTTCAACTCCCTCTTGGTCGACAAGGTCTTCAAAGTACATTTCTGGAATTGGATATCTGGTGTATCGATTGGTAGTCTGGCACCGTATTTTGCTGTGGCGTCCCACATGCTGTCTTCAGCACTCATCTTGAGTTTCTGGTGATTTCCCATGGCGAAGACGCCGTGGCGATCGATGAGTGCCCGATCTTCGTCGTGGACGTACATGCTGTTGGCAGGTATGAACTGGAGTGCGTGGGTCTTGTCTTTGACTATATCTCTGATGATGATCATTTCGTCGTTTTCTCTTTCCGACCAAGCCTTGCCACGACGATTGATCCTCATCGGTGTAATTACTTGGATGCTTTTTGTGTGTGGGAAACAGCCTCGGCTGAGCGCTTCTCCAAGCGCTTCTGCTAGGCGAATTGTTCTCGACTCGCTGTTGGAGCCTAGAGGATGATCGTTGGGGAGTCTTGCTGTGATGCTGTGCGAGTGCGTTTGTTTGCAGACGTTGCGAGCGTACATCAGGTCGAACCAGTAGGGAATGTTCCTGGGCACAAAGGAGATTGATAGACTGCGGAGGTGTGGCGCTTTGACATACTCGACTTCTTCCTCGTCATCGTCTTTGTCTTTGGCTGGTAACTCAATGATAGAGCCGCAGACGTATGCCACTCTCAGATTTAGGTGGCGCAGTCTTAGCATCATGTTCTGGATGAGAAGGCACATGCGAGGAGACGATGGACCAAACTGGATCTCACGGCCATTGGTGTCTAGGAAAAGATTGATGCAAGACTCCGGCAACGCTCCGACAAGCTCATGGATGACTCTAACGTCTAAGAAGCCAGGCCCTTCTCTCTCCATCTTCAGCTTATCATGGAAGTACACCTCTTCCGCAAAGAACGAAAAGGTGTTGAGAAGAGGAAAGTGCTTTGGCAGCATGCTTGCCAATCTCATCAACTGCACATCCAATGGAGTTAGTTTGCCCGCTTCTTGTCTGTTCTGCTGCTCATAGCGCGTATTTCCAGTTCCCTCTGGCTTGACGTTGAGAGTCAAGGTGTGAACCTGCCCCCACGATCTTTCGCGGTTACGAATTCGCTTCTTGCCTTTTCTCGCCTTCAACTCTTCAATAGAAGGCAAAGGCTTTGAGAACATGGCTTTGGCTTCTTCGAAAGTGCTCGAGGCGTCCCTTGCTGAAGCCCTGCTACCGTTGTAGAACATGAACTGCAACTTTGGTATCAGACTCCAAGATTCGACAGGCGGGTCGACCGTAGTTTCGAGGAAGGAGCTGATGTTGCCATTGTGAAGTACGACGTGTTCGTAGAAGACTGGTGTACCGGCAGCATTCCAGAGGTGAGACACAAGGAGCGCGTTCTTCAATGAGTTGAAACCACACTGTTCACGAACTTGCACCAAGATATGCTTCAAGATCTCGTTGGGAACGTTCTCGATGGTTTTAGGCATTTTCGCGGTATGTTTCTTTAGTGTGGAGAGACTTGGCATCGGAAGGGGAGAAGGGATGTGAAGGGAAGCTTGTGTTGATTCGAAAACCAACGAGATTGCTGACACAAAGGTGTAGCGTCTGATGTCGAGGCAAGAGATAGGGAAGGGGTGCGGTTATGTCTTGCAATACCTTCCCAATTGTCGCTGCCTGTTGGTCGCCGAACCTATGACCTCGTCGTCGAATTGCCGTTTGTATGACCCTCGCTGTCGTCTTCGAGCTCTACGTTCGCCCTCGCCGAGTGTATGATATCGTGTGCGACCTCTCCGTTCGTCCTATTCGGCCGGATGACCTCGTCGTCAAATCGTCGGTTCACCTTTGTGAAACTTTCCGTTTGTCTTTGTCGGATTGTCTGTTCGTCTTTGTCGAGCTGATGCCTTTTTTTTGTGCTTTCTTTTCGTCGAGTGTATGAACTCGTCGCTGAAATGAAGCCCTCTGACCTCGCCTTGGTCGTCAAGCTGTCTGTTCGTTCTGGTCGAGTGTATGACTTTGTGGTCGAGGTGTTATTCTGTCTTCGTCAAGAGTGTGACCTCGTCGCCGAACTTTCCGTTTGTATGGCCTCGCGTCTATTGAGCTTTTATTCGTATTGTCTGCTTTCTGAGAAGTCAGGATGCTTACTCGAGAGCGCAGAACTCGTGTTGAAATGACGGCTCAACCTTCTGCGGGAATGTCTTGTTCCAAAGCGCTGTTCGAGAAATCGCCGCCTGCTTGGTGCCCAACGTCCGATTTATTCAACTGATCCGTTTTGATTGGCCTCTGCTCAGGAAATGAAGATGCTGATCTCGGATATGTAGTGCTGATGTTGAAGAAAGGGAGAGGCTTGCACATTGGGGTCTGTCTTTGTCTGGTGGCGCCTTCCTTGTGATCGCTGCCTATCACGGCCTATTCGATGTTGAAGGTATGAGTCACGCTCGTCGTCAACAAGCCGTTTGAATTGTCTTCTGATTGTCGTGTGAAAGGTCGAGGTATGATGTTTCGAAGTCGAGGGCTCCTTCCCAAGTTTCGCAGACACGTGACATCCCACTAACATGTGATTTCATGCTGCCAACATTCCTTACTCGAATATCATCACTATCACTCTGGAACGTCGAGGAGCAAAACCCCTTGGCATATCCTAATAATTTTGGACCAAAACTTGGAGACAGGTTTGATACGAACTCGACTTCGCTCCATCATTGTCTGCACAATTTCTGGAACAGAATCAAACATTTTGGAAATACATAGGCGACTAATCATCATTCCTAGAACTTATGCATCACAGTCGTGGTACTTGCCCAGACCGAACAACTTCTTCGCATTCTCCCTGCCAACATTCTTGTACGCCTCCTCACCGCCCAATGCCTTCTTGATGTTCTCAGCATCACCGTCCCACCAGCCACAGCCATTCTCAATGGTCTCATAAGGATAATCGACACTGAACAACAATCTCTCAGGGCCAAGATATTCAGCGACATACTTCAAAGTCTGAGTGCAGAAGTGTCCGCTGGTGGTGAGGTAGATGTTGTTCTTGAAGTAATCGTAAATGGTCTTCTTACACATAATATCTCCTGCCTTGGCTGCAAGGGGCTTCTCAACATCTTCCAGCCAGTGGTTGATGCGCCAGAAGTCGAAAGGGATGTGCTCACCCAAGTGACCAACGATGATCTTGAGCTTGGGGAAGCGGTCGAAGACGCCGTTGGTGATCATACCGAGAAGATGCAGAGACACAGCGTTGGCGAAGCTGAGAGGAGGACCAACGAGGTACTTGCGCTGAGCGTACTGCTGTTGGTAGTACTGGCCCATGGGTGCTGCAGGGTGGATGTACACAGGAACATCAAGCTCAACAACGACCTTCCAGAATTCGTCATAGGCGGGCTGATCGTAGAAGAGATATGTCTCGCCATCAATTCCTGCGTGCTGGACGTCGTTGAGGAGAGCGCCGTGGAAGCCAAGCTTGACACAACGGCGGAGCTCTTCGGCAGCTTGTTTGGGGTCGTGCATGGACAGAGCTGCAAAGGCACCGAGACGATCACGGTGGTCCTTGATCTCGTTAGAGATGTAGTCGTTGACCTCGGTGGCGTGCTTCTCTGCTTGAGCCGGGTCGCTGATGCCCTGAATGCCAGGGACAGTCAAGGAGACAATGGTGTAACCGATGCCATGAGCGTCTGAGACTTCGAGACGCTCGCCGGTGATGGACTTGATCTGGCGCATGTAGCGATCGAGGTCCTTGGGAGCGATGTACAAGGCTGCCTGGTCGCGGCTCTGGTCTGCCAGACGAGGGATCTCGTAGGCTTCTTCGAAGGAGACTTTGCCGTACATGATGAGGAGATGAATGAGGATGGAAAGAAATGAGATGATAGTTGGCTCTCGAAATGGTTTACTGACTTGATGCAGCATTTACCATCGAGACTTACATGCTTTATAGACCTTTGCTCGACTCGTAGGCACAAGCATAGCGTTTCTCAATTGTACGTCACCACACCACAAGCATCCGAAGTCTTCAACAGATGACGACTCGTAGTCCAACATTTGTGGTATGATTCAGGAAGAGGTGGAGTGCTCTTTCCGAAAGATCACGCACTCGGTCTCTCAGTTTCCATAAGCCACCAGACGATAAGGTTACAATGGCAGACTCTTGTCGGAAGCCAGCCACGCTCATCATCTTCCGAAGAGCTGTTGGGTTCGGAAGACGCACCCCGAAAGCATGTTTTCTATATCGATTCCAGTCGATTGTAAGAACAGCAACACAATCGGAAGCTATCGACCTGTAGCAATCGAACTTGAGCCTCCACGATGTTTGTGGAGTTACGTTGGGCTTTGATTATCATGCGCGAAGGCGAAGTCCAATCAAGCAAACCAGATCAAAGGGCTGAGAACTCCTCACAAGGTGGCAAGAGACGACCAGATCCATCTCACTCTCAGTTTGTCCATCGCTGTCTAATCGAAACAAAGCTTTGGAAAACTTGAGATTATGCATAAAGTTCAATTTCCTCCCTAGCGCGGGCTAAGAGATGGCTTCCAAATTATGCAAAATCACCGACCGACCTGTGATTCGAACAACACGGTGCTATCTTTCTTCTAGGGGCCCACAAAGATATTCATGTCCTCGTCGATGGCATGAATATGTTCCAATACCAAAAACATGGCCTGAGATGCGATCGCCTTTGGACTAGCTCCCTTTAGAATTCAGACCAAATCTGACAGATCTAGAAACTCCTGTCTGTCTGTCCAACCTCCCCGTGTGCTAAATTCTGTCATTCCTAGCCATCTCCCACGGCCATGCCCAGGGTTGTTTGGTCTGTAGAAATGCATAATGTTTTCAAGATCGCTCTAGTCCTCCGTAGAGAGACGCTGACGATCACGCTCTCCATGGACTGACGATCGCGCTTTTAATGGAGGCTACCTCTGAAAATGTTAGAATCATGCATTTCTACAGTCGTACACGCGACAAAGTTTAGCACACGGGGAGGAAGCATCTTGTCGTAGAGACACTAACTTAACTACAAGGATATATCGAAGACGTTCCTCAATTTCCGCTAAGTCGTGGATTTGAAACGCAACCCAGAATTTTGAGGGAGTCGCGACTTCCTCAAAACGTATGTATTTATCTTGCCATGACGACACAAAGTTCTCGGGAGTCGTGACTTCCTGTCGATGTGAGTGTAATAAAGTCTTGTTCACTCAAAATCCCTCACTGGCTTTACCTCAGCAAGATTACCACGTGTGGATTCGGCTTCACTTCCCGCGTTGACTCACTGTAGAGACATTGCGGGCATTTGCTTTCACATGACGACACAAAGTTGTGACAACCAGACAAAGAAGGAACGACAAGACACGCTTGCTGCTTCTCAGTCCACCAACTTCTACCTCTCAACATCATCGCTCTACATCCAACATTGATTCAATAGAATTTTATCCATCAAAAGAGCCCATCATCAACAACTACAGTACGCAGTTCTTCATCCTCAGTATCATCGCCACAACGACCGGAGCAGTGTACGTATTCCCCGAGTATTGCCAGGCCTCACGCTGACCCTCTCAGCTTCGGTCTACCCCAGGGCTGTCTCGACGATTACTACGCACGATCCAACATATCGTGTGCCATCCCATCCATCGTATCGACAGCACAAGAAACAATTACTACGATTTCAACTCTCCCTCCCGGAGTCACGCCGCCTCACCAGGGAGCCCCAGAATCCAGTCTTCCCCAGTCGTGGGTAAAGTGGACAAGACCACCTCCGCCTCGATGGCCCTCCGCAAGATCTTCACGAAAGTTTGGTGGTCCACTCTCGTGCACGGCAAGCAAGCACAACCAGTGCCATCAAATTTCTTCACGGGCGGCAATCAAATCCATCGACCTCAAGACGTCCGATTGCACACCCTCGCAGCATCTACTGCAATCCTCAAAGCCCGTCCTCAACAGAGTATGACGCTTGATGAAGTGCACGAATCCCTCCAGGGGTCGATGGACGAAATCCGTACCGAGATCGTCAAGAGCAAGGGCAAGTGGTACAACACTTTGTAGACTCATGTCGTTGGTGCCGCTGTTTCTGCTGTGTCAACATGGGCAGTCACCAGTCGTGAGTACATTAAGGAGCAGGCCAAGGAACTTGTGCAGCGCCGGAACTCCGGCTCCGATGAAGGCATCCCATCTCCCCGCAGTCATGTATGACCCACAGATCCGCAGCAACCGTGCCTTCAGACGAAACACGAACCACATCGTCCGACACAAGCAGACCTAGCCTCATGAGAATCATGGAGGTAGACCGAGACGGATCTAGCACATGGAGAACTCTCACTGGCACATGAAGGACCACGACGATATACCCACCCACAGCAACTGTGCCCTCCGACAGAGACATTCAAGCCAGATCACTCGAAACATGCATACCTGCTGTCATGTCTATCTCATATCACCAAGTATGGCCGGAAGAACTGGACACCCTGAGAACTACTACCAGGCCAGCTCCCACAGACACGATCCACACATCCGCAGCAACTGTGCCTTCCGTCAGACACAGGCAACTGAACCTGTCCGCTAGGTAAGTGACCAATTTGGGCTATGTTCTTTGTGTGCAAGAAGCTAACAGCCGACAACCAAGAATACTCATGCAAGCTATCTGTCGCTACCATGGCTACTGCTGGATGGTATGGTCCATGATTTTCTGAGATGTTGCAATGGGATTCCTTTTCTTGATTACGGCGTTCGGCGTTTGTCTTTTTATCACCTGAGTTTCTATTGATCGGTTATTATGCGTATGAAGCATGGACAGATCATGCATATCGGCGTTTCTGCAGCAAGAGACGAATAAGAATCACTTCTTTTACTCTCACTGGACGCGACTCCGAATTTCAAAGTGACCCTGCCTTTCGACAGCTGGGAATGAGGGCTGCTCTGTTCCAAGGAAAGGGGTCAAACTTATACACATTCATAGTGGGTGACGACCGTGCATGACATCTCGAAAATTTTGTGCTTTTTGCTATACTCATTATCATATCATCATGATACTGTAACACTCATTCTCGTTATCCTCATAACCATACCGCCATCCCATTCGTCCTTCCTCATCTGCAGTCTCAATACTCGACTCTAGGCTTCCAAATAGGAGCCTGTCTCAGATCATCCTCATCCCACTCAATCTTGCCCTTTTCGTTGAAGCGAGCACCCTCATCCGAGATTTCAATCACCTTCTTCGTCTCCTTGATCTCTTGTGCCGAGACACCGAGTTCATCTCTCACGATCCAGAGAGTGGGAGGCTTGGCAGTGATGGCAGGGTGATGGTAAGCATGCTTCAATGTCTCTTCAGGAATCTCGGGTGCGGGTTGACCTGGGAAAGCATCCCAAAGCTGGCGGCGGAGAGCAGGATACTTGCTCTTGGAGCCATTGAAGAGGAATGGGGCGAACAGACCTCCACGTTTGAAGTGTGCAGCGACGGCATTGGCGGTTTTGTTTTCAAAGTAAGGGCCTGCTTGTTTAGGTTGTACGCCATCGCCGTCTACGTCGATCGGAACTGTTGCGCCTTGATCGTTGGCATGAGCTAGTGCTTCTTCTTCGTTCTCGGCCATGAGTTCGTCTGACAGTGTATTGGTGAGAGGAGCCAGGATCATGTTGAGGTAGGTTTGGTAGATGACGGTGAGGATGAGGAGGATCAACATCAACTTGGCTGGACCCTCGCCACCTTGAGCAGTCATCAGTCCGATCAAGCAGATCTCGGCAAGGTAGATGCCGACACTAAGATGCTGCAGAGCGCGGCCGTATGCATCTCCTTTGGTGTCTACTGCCATTGTCAAGACGTAAAAGACGTTGTATCGGAACGCCAAGTAAAGGAAGTAGATGCCGAGCATCGCGAAGCCAAGGACAAGGGGAGCGATGCAAGAGTAAGAGATTGCTGTGGAGCTATCAGTTCATATAGTCTAAGGCGTAAATCTGTGAAACTTACCAATGACAGCAAACAGTGTGAACTTAGGGTATGTATCACCCCAGCTGAGTCCTGTAAGGGTAACGAAACGCTCGAACTTTCTACGAGGTGTCGTATCCAAGAAGGGCGACACAATGTTGAAGATGAGGAAAGGCGCTATCTGGAAGATCGTTGATGCCGTGACTGCAATACCTTGAAGGATGAAGAACGAGAGATAGAAAGTGGAAGCGGTAGGTAAGTTGTCAGCAAGGAGTTTAGGAGTCTGAGCAGGGTCGTCCCAAATTTCTTCTACAGAGGCGTTAGCTTGCCATGCACAAAGCGAACCAGATTTTAGACTTACTAGCAACCTTCGAAGCTCCCGAAGAGAACGTGGTAATGAGGAAGACCTGTACAACTTGGAAGGCAAAGTACCATCCCTGTGTACGGAGTTCGACTTGTGCTAGCGTTATGGATCCAGCTTTTCTTGCGATGACTTTATTCTTGTCAGCTTGTTATACCTTATCTTGACATAGCAAGTAACTTACAGCGACAGATGATTGGTACGAGAGCCAGAATGGCAGAGATTAGAATTGTAGGAAGAAGACCGCTGATAGCGCCCTTGGTCGAAGAAGGCAATTTATTGACGAAGCCAAGTGGAGGGAAATTTTGTGCAAGGTTTTCGATATCGGCAAGCGAGCCAACAAGACCAACTGGGACGGACCAGAACACGATGAGCAGAACAACGATGGTATTGGCGATAATTGTACGAGTCCAGCGTTCAGGCTTTCCCATTGCCAAGTTGGGCCAAATGATCTCGTTCGGGCTTGCGAGACCAATACATGCTGCTTCCATCTTTCCTGGCTGTCTCCAGAAGGGATCAGAATAGGCAAGTTGTGCAGCACGTTGTGTCTCGAACTCGACAAAAGCTGCCGGTAAAAGCTTCTCGTAGCCTTGAATATGGCGTTTCTGGAGAGCTTCGACCTTCGGCATTGTGGTTTTCAACTGCTCGCGATACATATCAATAGCATCCTGCTTTCTGCCGACCAGTGCGATGCGCTTCGATGGTCTTTCCTTCGGCGCGATCCATTGTTGAGTGGCAGTACCGGCTCTCTCGGGATCATCAGCGAAATGCTTTTCTCCTTTAAGATGCTTCTTGGTAGCGATTGTAGACAGTTTGATTTCTGACTCTTCCAAGGAAATGGCAGTGTCATTCATAGTGCTCACGAGACTTTCGAGCTCGGTACAATCTGTGGCCAGCCAAACACGCTTGACACCAAAGAAGTCGGCCTTGATCCATCTCTCGTGACGCATGTCTTCCGGTACACCTGTGAATAGCACAACGCGGGTGGAGATACGAGTGGCATTACGAGGAGTAGTGAGATATGCTTGTCGGAGGTTGATGTAGTAGAGAGTTTCCCTGGTGATGACAAACATGACAAAACTGAGAAAGACCCACGCGCAGCCAGCGTGCCAGTAGAATTTGTTAGGATCAGAGACGTTACTGAAGGTGAACATGTCGAGCTCAGATTGACCACCTCCGCCATTGTAGTTGACGCGGAGTAAGAAGACCCATGTGATGATGGTTCCAACAAGACATATGTATGTGAGCATACGGAAGTAGCGAATGAAAAGGTAGTTGTCCAGCGTTTGGTGGTTCAAGACGAATTGATCCGGGAGTTTTACGAAAGCAGAGATCCAGTTGAACATGCCATAGGCAGGCTTCGGTGTTTTCTCTCTGTTTCTGTCAGCAACATGTCTCCTTCTTAATTCGACGCTTGTCCACATACGCATCTTCCAAAGTGTTCAAGAATGTTCGAGGTGCATAAATGCGGTGCTGCTTTTGGCGGAGATATAGGAAGGCCAATACCAGAGGAATGGCGATGACGAGCAGAGGAACAACAGTGTATATCAGCTTGTTGTAAGAGGAGGACCCTCCACGATTGTCTCCTTCCCCTAGAGCGCCTAATGGACGAAGTCAGAGTAGTTTCATCTTGATTCAAGGCAGCATTCGAAGGCTAGTTTTTACGGAAGAGGAACTTACCCATCACATCATTGACGGTGTCCATGATCAATACGTGCTGATCGCTGGAACCCATGATGGTCGCTGCAGAAATAGCAGTGTTACTGTTCAATGCGATGTTTAGATTAAACTCAGCATTCATTTGGTTTGACAAGATGGTTCGCGTTTGGTGGCTGGTGAGGTGACGAGCGCTGACGCAACCCCAACCTTCTTTGCGGGGCTCGAAGACGGTATAGAGAAACAAATATAGGAAGATAGTAACTATAGCCCCTTCGATACTACCCCCTCTAAAATCGGCTAGTTAATTACATAATAAGGGTGTTATAGACCCTCGCCTTATAGCAATGTCACCGTTACTATTACTAGCTGTTAAGGGGCGGAGTCGGGAGTAGGTAACAATACGTAGATACGGGTCTAAGCTATATAACGAGACGTAGACAAGGAGATAAAGAGGTAATAGGGAGGAGTCGTAGAAGGTAGTAAGTAGTCTTAGCAACTCCGCACGGCCGCTTAGTAAGCGGCCGGCTAAGGTCAGGGTCACCCTAGCGGCTAGGGGTCATAGTTAGGTGTAACTAGATAGCTAACCGTAACATAACCCCCCCCCCCTTAAGGGTAAACTTCCTAAGAACCTACACGAGGTAGAATAAGAACAAAATAAGAAAGAAAACAGGGCAGTAACAGAATAAGGGTAGGCTATAAGGACAGGCAGGGTAGGGATTAACAGAACATAAACAGAACATAAAAGCAAAACAGAAATCTTAGGAAAAAAGTGCAGATAGTTTCCCTAGAGCTCCTACCGGCTCTAGGTCTCTACCGTTCACTTTAACTATAGGGTACGCGATTTAACTGCATCTTTAAACTTAAGTAAGTCCTATTAGTTAAAGTGAACGGGGGCCTTAACACCCCGTAGGATACGACATAAGATTAACTCTCGCTCGAGGAACTACCCCTTAAAGCCCTACTTACTATATCGAAAATCTTAAGTACGAAATAAATCGACACCGCTAAGAATCGAACCGTAGTCCCTTAATACTAATGAATCCGGAGACCTAACAGGTTAGTTACTAACTACTACGCTAACCCCGGCAATAGCGACAGAATAGACCTAGACCTTTTACTTATACGCTTATAGAGGTAAAAGATAGGTTTACGTATAATAACGTAACGTAGACGTAATCGTACGTACTAATTCGTGGTATAGGCATAGTTAATAGGTCTAGACGTGATTCCGGTAGATGTTCGATGTAATTAACGTATTATTACGTGACGGGAACGTAATAGGACGTAACGGGGACGTATTTAGACGTAACGGAGGTCTAAGGGACATAGCGAAGCGTAGTCTAACGTGC